TTTTTTTTTTTTTTTTAATGATTACATTGAATGTAGAGAGTTAATAATTTCATCTGTACAGAGTGGGCCAAAAATCACTTCCTACTAGGAATAATAAAAAATAAAATAAAATACTCTGGCGATCAACACTGTTTGAAAGGAAATAATTTTTAAAGCATAATGTTCGAACTGAAATTTAATTTAAAATTAGTTTTGATGTTTCGTTAGAAGAAACTTTTAGCCCACCCTGTAGATAAAGGATTGGAGATCGCAATTTGCTTTGTCATTTTGAAGTGCAATAAATTCTTTCTCCCTCAACTTTAAAATAAACTTTAAAAATTAATTCAAAATAATATGTAACAAATAATAAAATAATTAAATTGAAAGTGATTGATGTAAAAATTAATTTAAAATAAATTCGCGGCCCGGCGATAAGACAACACAGGAATTATATCGCCTTGTCGCGCGTTATCTCCGCGATTGACTTTCTCTTCGCATTTCTGTCTCATTTCGCATGAATAATGTAAAGGCGCGAGCCTCGCTTGTAAATATTGTTCGTTACTATCTGCTGGCGATAGAGTTACGTTTGACGTTGGTCGTTGACAAGAGCTGATTACAAGCTGTTGAAAAAATCACGCTCGATAGCGAGCGCGTGATTTATCGAATCGCATTGCACACCTATGCGACTTTGCCGCTGTGTACGCATATATTTTACATCGGGTTCGTGAATCATTGACGAAATGAAATGTATTGTATGTGTATTAACCGAGAAATTCTCGAGCTTTCTCAAATGCAACGGTCTTCTCAGCAGCGCACCGATCCCGACAGATCTATAAATCTCTCTATAAATCCGCAGAAAGACGGAGCACGTATTGAAAGCAGTCAAGGTCTACTAGTATTTCTCTATTATGTTTCCACTTACGTGTGTCTCACGAGTCTGTTTGCTCCACTGCGAATTTCTGGGAATTGTCTGAAGTTCTGAAAGATCTGCAACAACGATCGGAAGATGCTCGAAGCGGAGCATTTTTTCTATGCAGGAAAGCAGATTTTTGCGAAACTTAAAAACGAACACACGTGTCACACAATAGAGATACACGATATATAGAAACTCAATTTTTATTTTATTCGATAATTTATTTTAGAGTATCTGAACAACCTCCAGGATAAATTTCTGCTTTCTACGTTCCATTTCTTCAATCAGAAGAAATATGAAATTGAATAACGATGAATGAAGATCATAATATCCTATGATATTGCTATGCACAACATTCTTAAGTAAACTTCTATTTGAAATCAATTTCTTTTTTTCCACAAAAACATAAAATTGCATGAACATTTGGAGTATCTAAATAATAGTCGAACAATTTTCTGTTTTCTACGATTCTTTTCTTTAATCACAAAAAAATTACACGAAGATCATCCGTACTCGCAACATCCTATAAAGTCACTATAATATTATATATCGCTATATATGTATAACATTGTAAAGCAATATTCTATTTGAAATCAATTTCTTTCTGTTCACAAAAACATAAAATTGCCTGAACATTTGAAGTATCCAAATAATAGTGGAATAAATTTCTGTTTTCCACATTCCATTTCTTTAATCACAAAAAAAATTGCACGAAGATCATCCGCACTCGCAACATCCTATAAAGTCACTACAATATTATTATATATCGCTATATATGTATAACATTGTGAAGCAATATTCTATTTGAAATCAATTTCTTTTTGTTCACAAAAACATAAAATTGCCTGAACATTTGGAGTATCTAAATAATAAAATTACACGAAAATCATCCGCATCGCAACATTCTATAAAGTCACTATATATCGCTATATATGTATAACATTGTGAAGCAATATTCTATTTGAAATCAATTTCGCAAAGACGTAAGATTGCGTGACGAAACTAACTAAAAGCGGAGTTAATGATTTCGTCCTGCGATCGATCGATCGAGAAGGCAATACGCGCGTGGATCACGGCCTCGATCGACAATCGACTTCGTATATCGATTCGATCGAACGACCTGTCCTGCAAAACGTATCTATCTCGATGGCGATATCTCGACTTATTAGTCTCGGCTCCGGTTGATCCTGCGCTCGCCGACGATGTTAATTGCCAGCGTCGGAACACGCCGCCACACTCCTCTTCTCTCTCTCTCCTTTTCCTTCCACTCTCTTCCCTACTTTCCTTTTCACTTTCCTTTAATTACCAGCAGCCGGTGGCGGCGCGATTACTCAACGAACTGTAAACGATTACGCGAACGCTCGGCTCGTCGCTGACTTCGAATTAATGATAAAAAATTCATCGTCACGCGATCCACCTTCTTCCACCACGATTGTCCGCGATAGCGAGGAGATATATCGAATGTGTCGCGAGTGTGTTGACTGACAAAACGTTGGTTTGGCAATTGGACAAAATTTGGAAGGACTCGAAATTGGAATTGTTTGGTTTTTCTTTTGGAGAAAACAGTTATCTTGGAAAGGAAACAAAGCAAATCTATATATATATATATATCGAATACTTCATTGTGATTCAAGGAGCACAATGAACTAACAATAAGACGGAAATAGCTGCGAATTTAATCGGAGAAGATTAATTATTTTACTCTATTACTTACTGCAATAAATTGTAATTTACATAATAATAACGTGTTATGAATATAAATTAAATTTATGTAATAAATTGCAAGTATTGTTCGCAACAATTCGCTAAGAACATTAAACAAACATAAATTAAACTTTGAAATGTCCAATTTTAAAGATAACTTGGATTCTCAAATCCTCAAAGCTATTAAATAATATTAATCTCAATTCCCAATTACTGACGTTCAGCTTTTTTTCCCTTCTTTTTTTTTTTTTTTCCATACCATTTTTTTCTTTTCTTTTCTAATATATGCGCATTCGATTACACGTTCATCGCGTCGTCTCACCGTTTTTCCTCCCCTAATGAACACGCCGGCAACGACCTCGTAATTCCATTCCGCTCGATCCGCGTGAGCGTGTCTGCTGTAACGTGTGTTCCGAAAGCCACGATAAGAAGCCTTTTATTTCCTCGTGGTCGGGCTTAGAGGAACGAGCAGAAACTGCACGATCGCGAACCAGTGTCGAAAGTTCTCCTTTGCGAAACATGCAAACGGAGACCTTGCGCCCGATTAATTATGTTACTCACTCCGTTTCTGGTTTGCATCATTTTCGTTCCGTTGTATCGTGATACTCTCCTCTTGCAACTCGGTGAAATGGGCCACAAGATTTTGATGAGGACGTTAATTTGTTACGCGTATCAACGAATACATCGTATATTATGCCACGTAAAATTAATTTAATAAAATCGTGCGACTTGGGAAATAATTATTTTTCTGCATCCTCGAGAATAAATCGGCACACGATTTGTAAAATTAACTTGTTCAGAAGTTGCAGAGTAGAAAATAATTATTTCTTCATCCGCTAAAAATAAATAATCGACACACGATTTGTAAAATTAACTTGTTCAGAAGTTGCAGAGTAGAAAATAATTATTTCTTCATCCGCGAAAATAAATAAACATTTAAAATAAATAATCGACACACGATTTGTAAAATTAACTTGTTCAAAAGTTGCAGAGTAGAAAATAATTATTTCTTCATCAGCGAAAATAAATAAATAATCGACACACGATTTGTAAAATTAACTTGTTCAGAAGTTGTCTGGAGAGTAGATAAATGTCAGAGAAGTTATTGCAGACTGGAAGGAGTAGAAATTTCTTGCTAAATGCTAAATATTGTTCTCGACTGAACTATCGTCTTCGAAGAAGGACATGTGTATTTTCTTCGAAGGGAAATACAAAGGATGGAATTGCATTTGGTAAATGGGAAGACACAACGTAGTTCATCTTCTTCGATTCACCGCGGCTGCCTCTGTATTCAGAGAGTGCGCTTCGTGCCCTCTTCTCATTATCAACCGTGCTTCACAAAGGATGTCCGTGATAAGCGACGGCGTCATCGACCGCTTGTCGTGCACTCGAAACTCTCATTCACTGCGGTTTCCATAATTTCTACGCGAAGGATGTTCATCCATCGAGATGTTTCATCCGGTCATCGCATATGAAGAAGCTTTGATATCGTGTTCTTCAAATGGTAACAGTTTTAGTTTTTAAAAAAGTGGAAAATCCTTGTATGAAGCATTCTTCTACATTCTTCTTTTCAAATTCTTCCAAGTTTGTCATCACTCTGTGATACTTTGCAGTACTTTTACTTTGTATTCGTTGTTAAAAAACAAACCTTTCATGAAATAGTTAAAATAAATCAAAGTATCCTTCCGAAACCCAGTGTTGTAATATCAAAGACTGTCTTTGAAATCCAATATCACTATTAAAGAATACCCTTCCAAAATTATTATTCCAATATTACAATATTAGTCCATATTAAAGTACTCCTGTAAGATTACTATAATATTACAATATCAAAGTATCCTGAAAGCTAGTATTATAATATCAAAGTGTGTTTTTAAATCCAACATCAACACCATGTCAAAGTATCCCTTTAAAGTTAATACCAATATTACAATATTAGTCCATATCAAAGTGTCCCTTTAAAATTATTACAATATTACAATATTAGTCCATATCAAAATTATTACAATATTACAATATTAGTCCATATCAAAATTATTACAATATTACAATATTAGTCCATATCAAAGTGTCCCTTTTAAAATTATTACAATATTAGTCCATATCAAAGTGTCCCTCTAAAATTATTACAATTTTACTACAACCCAACATTAATTCGTGTGGGACAAAATACCCGAGATAAAGCGAGGAAATTCGAATCGGATTGGTTCTGAGTTTCTAAATTAGCGCTAGACAGTCATTAGAAACGTTTCACCGTGAACTCGTAAATCTTGTCGCGGGGCGATTACCGATGCTTAATTAACCGTTGCTACATGAAAAACACACGCGTTCCCCTGGCAATCGGCTTGCTTTCCCGAGTATGTAACGTAGCGTAATCCAAACCGCTGTTTCCCTCTATCTGCAGACACATACCAAAGGCGAAGGCCACCACGATGGCGGAAACGCTGGAGCTGAAGCGTATCGCGGAGAACACGAAGATTCAGAGTAACGTGAAGTATCACGCCGAATTCGAGAAAGCGAAAGGCAAGTTCACCCAGGTGGCCGACGATCCGGAAACGCTGAGAATCAAGCAGAACAGTAAGATCATCTCGAACGTGGCTTATCACGGCGAGCTGCAGAAGAAGGCCATCATGGAGCAGAAAAGGACGATGACCGGAGAAAATGGCGAACAGATCGGTGAGTCTGGACGATTGTCCACTGGTGTGAACACCAGTTCGAAGCATTCGTTCCTATCGTTGTCTCTTATGGTTTAAATGTTTGCATTTGGTACCAGGTTTTTTTTTTTTTTGTTTTGTTTTTCTTAACCCTGTTTTATGTCCTCGCGATACTTGAAAGTATCAGTATTTGTACTTAATCGAGATAAATGTTTCCTTATCCCTTTGACGTTGTATTTACAATAATTGAAGTATCTAGAATGGAAACGAAAGCTTGTCTATGATTAATAAGTACTAACGTGTATCGAGAAGTATTTTTTTTTTTTTTTTTTTTGTTTGGTTTTACTTGTTCTCGTAATTGTGAAAAAAAGCGCGAAGAAAAGCTTCCTTTCACAAAACAACGCAGTTGAAATTAAACTACCCTCGACGTACTAACACTTGCAAGAAGAATCCATCTGTATATTCGCTTATCTGTCTCCCTATCCGTCCCATCCCATACGCTCGATTCCGATAGATCGCAATAATAGCGCTAGGTATTCTACGAACGCGCACGATAAACCTAATCTGTACATACACACCAGCGAGGAACCTAGAGGCGCGTATCTCTGAAATGCGAGACATCGGCGAATAGCGAATAGCGAATAGCCAATATTAACAGCGAACGCCGTAAAGCCGGGAGGAGACGGCTTTAGTTGGTTGGCGTTTCGTATCGTTTCTGGAATAGCATCTCGGCAGCTTGTGTATTGTTGACTTTAGAGTACGTAGAGTACACGGACGGTCCGATCGCGCCTACATCGGGCGTGAACGCGAATCCACCGGCCGCTAGAACAGCGAGCTCGCAGGTGCAAAGGACACCAGGTAGGATCGCCGATTACGATCCCCCCCTTAACGAGGTGAGACCGAGCCCCTATTCCGCCAGGCAAGCCGGGGCAACCACTGTGATTTATACGAGCGACAAGGGACCAGGTGAGTTCTCCACCATTTTTCTTTACCGAGTAATAAGATTTCCACCTCGTCTTTCTTTTTCTGTTTCTTTTTCATTTTGAGGAGAGAAGTTACAGTTCCCAAACGCTAGAGTTGGAATATTAATTAGCAATTATATTTTACTCATTTTACTCAAAAGCTAGTGCTAGAATATCACAGCAATTATATTTTCCCCCTTTTTTTTCAGAAGCTAGTGCTAGAATATCACAGCAATTATATTTTATTCATTTTACTCAGTATTACAGTAATTATATTTTACTCATTTTACTCACTATTACAGCAATTATATTTTACTCATTTTATTCAATATTACAGGATTATATTTTACTCAAAAGCTAGAGCTAGAATATTAGAGTAATTATATTTTACTCATTTTACTCAATATTAAAGCAATTATATTTTACTCATTTTACTCAAGAGCTAGAGCTAGAATATTACAGTAATTATATTTTATTCATTTTACTCGATATTACAGCAATTATATTTTACTCATTTTACTCAATATTACAGTATTATATTTTACTCATTTTACTCAAAAGTTAGAGTTAGAATATTACAGTAATTATTTTTTACTCATGTTAGTTAATATTACAGCAATTATATTTTATTCATTTTACTCAAAAGCTAGAGCTAGAATATTACAGCAATTATATTTTACTCATTTTACTCAATATTACAGTATTATATTTTACTCATTTTACTCAAAAGCTAGAGCTAGAATATTACAGTAATTATTTTTTACTCATGTTAGTCAATATTACAGCAGTTATATTTTACTCATTTTACTCAAGAGCTAGAGCTAGAATATTACAGTAATTATATTTTATTCATTTTACTCATTTTACTCAATATTACAGCAATTATATTTTACTCATTTTACTTTCTTATAGATTCGTAGTTTTCCTAAAATGTGCGAACGAAAGCTTGGCGTTTCAATCATGTTCTAAATCTTTTCTCTTAGTAGCGAGATTTTTCGCGAAGCGAAAGCTACGCTTTCATGATACAAAGCAAAGCCTGACACAAACTGCGCAGAAAAGTGCAACAACGAGATTTATACGTAATTATGTTAGAATGAATTGAAGTTTTGAAATTGAAGAAGTGTAGAATAGATTAATGTTTTTTTTATAAAAGAATCGTAATTAGATGACATTGTACAGAGCTCTCTTCGACTGATTGTGAGAAACAAGCGAGGCATTATAGTGGCGTGTCGCGTTCTAAATTAAAAAAATGACATACTACGCGAAAGCCACTATAGCAGCTTTTCAGTTAAGAGGTTAAACAATACGAGGTTTGAGCTTTCAATATTGCAGGAGTTTCCTCGAAGGGACACTAGTTCGTGTGGTGACATCTTTTTCATTTAATGTCACGCAATTCGATTTTCAACTCGTTTCACTTAATTTAATTTGATTCGAACGTACAGTTATTTAATTATATAATTCAATTGATTCTATCATAAGGATACAGTAACAACAATTGCTCGGTCAGTTGATAGGCTATTGCAATTATTAAATTAACAGTAAAATGTTACCATTTCTATTGCAAGTCGCGTATAATTAATCTACGAATCGATTTATTTTATCAAGCTACAGAACTCGCGGTGATCACGTCTATATTTTGTCGAAAGCTCTTGATTCAGGCTAGAAATTTACGAAGAAGGGACAAATGATCGTAACAAATGGAACACCCTGTACGTTATCTGCTCTATTTCCTTCCGACAGTGATACTTAAACATACAATTGAAACATACCCGGGCCTCGTTTCGTGTACGATTAGCCATATGGGTTGGCCATTCGTTACGCAACCGGTAATACGTAGTTAGTTTCAATAGATCGCCTTTTAATTGGATTCGAAGTTCGAACGATAGATGGATGGATGCAATTCGTTTACTCCTGTTTTAACTATTATCGCCATTATTTCTACAACGTCAAGGCGAATTTCACGTCGTCGTTCCACCACATGGACATTTGGAAAATTCACAAGTAATTCGGATGAAAAAAGCGCGGAAGATCGCGAAACGATCTAACGTAACACGTGACTGAGGAAGATGTTGTGGTTAACGGTGGCTGGTCGCAAAGTATTATTACTGTCTTCTGTGTGGCGTATTTACTTTTCGTTTCATCGTTCCTTTTTTTTTTTTTTTTTTTTTTCAACTTTTTGTCACCAATTCACTCGCAACCGCTTTTCAATTCTTGTGCATCATTTTTCTTGTACCTGTCTGTTCGTCGAGCACGATGCTCGACACGCTAATACGTGGTTAAAAAAAAAAAAAAAGAAATTGCGCCTTCGATGAAGAAATGTTTCGCAAGTCTGACGAGCCGTTTTTTCAGTGACGAATCCACCGGCCAGGAAGATTGGCTCGGTGGCCGATATAGACCCAGTGAACGAGTACTACGGGTCGTTGACGCCGGCAACGAATAACAATCACGTTCCACAGCACATGCAGTCTCCAGCACCAGCCACCAATGTCGGGGTGAGTTGTTTTCTTGGTTTCTAGGAGAAAATTCCGATACTGAACGATTAAAGACTCTGTAAAGATATTGCCAATTGGCGTAAAAGAGAAACTAAATAATAAATTGTAATTTGCCTTGGAAAGATGTAGTCACTCTGCGTGTCGCAGTTTCCTTTACGTACCTTTCTCGCCATTTTTGTTTTGATTAATTTTTAGTTTTTTTGTTCCCTAAATTTGTGCAAAGTTTCGAATTTAAATTAAAAATTTCAAATTTGTGAGTAAATTTGTGGTTGCAAAAATTGGCGATTTGTCCACAATGTTTCACAACGTGTACAATATATCAAAGCTCGAACTTTTTAGCTAGTGTTTAGAATTATCATCTATTCTAATGTCTCTTCCCCCCTTTCTTTCGTCAGAGAGTGTACAGAGCGATGTACGACTACCAAGCGCAGGATCTGGACGAGGTGAGCTTCTGCGACGGCGACCTGATCGTCAATTGCACGGCCATCGACGAGGGCTGGATGACGGGGCTGGTGCAGCGCACCGGACGACACGGCATGCTACCCGCCAACTACGTGGAACCAGTGCAAATTTAAACGAATCACCTCGCGTCCGTTTTTCGCATTTAAAAAAAAGAAAGTCGTCGCAGACCTAGAATTATAGTAATTCCACTTGTTGGGGACCAAATTCCGCTCCGTTCTATTAAGAAATGATCATCGACCATCTCGGCACTCTCGTCGGAACTGCAGTGTCGATCCACATTTTTCGATCGTCTTTCTTCCTTCCACGACGACACAATCCTATTTTTTTCCCCTTTCCCCCCCCCCCCCCCGTGTCCCGTGTCGTCCGAACAGTTTTACACACTTTTCGAAATCATTCCGTTGCCTCGAGGATTCCACGATGCAACGACGATGGGATGGATATCAATCAAGGTGGCAAAGACTGGAAGAACTTTCACATATTCCGTACGCAGGCATGTTTTCCCTCGTTTTCGTTTTCTCGTTTTTCACTTTTTACTCGCAAATGACGAGACACATTTGCTTCAACGCGATCGCATTTATTATACTTACACGCAGGATTGTTCCCTCGTCCAGAGATGTTCTTTCGGTCCTCGTGTCCATCTTCGTCGTTTCTTCGTTCTCGTCGAAGAATTTTGGATATTTATTGACGAGCACGAAAACGAAGTTGTTGCAATATTGGAGTTGGAAGAGACTCGGGCTCAACTACCAAGCCACACACACACAGACACACACTTACACACACACACACATTGTTCATTGTGATCCGGAAACAAACAACGATGTGCCTTATCTACATACGTAGACCTCGTCGAGTTACGTCGATCCTTTTTTCCGCGAGCTTTCCCCGACCACATTCGCCGATCCAGTGGAAAACGGCGAAGTGGGGAAAAGAGAAAAGTACGCGTATCAAGTTTTACGTATCGTCGTAGCACACGTAAAAGGAGGGAGTTTCACAGGAGATATCGAGCGAAGGATATATATCTAGTTAGGATCGTAAACGAAGAAGAAATTTTATGTAATGTAATATTGTTGATAGGAACGTTTTCGTTACACTTGCCTTACTCGATCCGACGCGTTTCGAAAGAAAGCGACGATCGCCGGGAACTTTTATTACCGTTGTCCACAATTAACGACAATTAACCGACATTTACCTAGAAGTAGTTGTTAAGTTTTATCGAGGTTATCGAGGTTATCGCCTGTATTAAAAAAAAAAAAAAAAAAAAAAGGAAAATAAAAAAAGAAATATGCTTCTCGATCCTTTCAGTTACTGAAGTATCTGATCTCTGTCAGCGTTTTAATATTTCAAGCCTTTTTATCATTTTATCGAACGATCGATTCGGTATTATCTGCACAGCATACACTGCTATAGTTGTACTTTATATACTTTTCATTGTACATCTGCAAACGAGACTTGAGATTTGAGAACAATTCGAGAATATTTCCAACATAGTTTTAATGTAATTACGCGTGCGGCTCGTTTTCACGTTTCTAACGTTTCAAGTGCGAAACAGTACTGAAAGGATTGGGGATCGCTTCCCGCGGATATACGTTTATATTCTCGCGGCGAGAGACGGGTTTATCGGAGTTTCGATTCCTCGAGATGGCTTTTACAGCGGTTAAATGTACAGATAAACATGCCGAGGAAATTCCACGGGTAACTCTTCTAAATTCCGAGAGACTGACCGCGCCTCCGTACTCCCGTTTCTCGTCTGATTTCCATCAAATGCCTTGGATCATTGCCTTTCTCAAGAAAATTAGTTTCTTCGCTCTGCTGGAAGAAGAAAAAAGAGAGAGAGAGAGAGAAAAGAAAAGAAATTTGGTTCCTCGGACAGAAGACGTATCTAATACATTTGTATTTACCTGAGTAGAGAGAATAGAAGAAGTTTATAAGCTGTAATGTTATTATACGAAGGAAATGAATAATAATGTTGTTGCTTACGGAGCGTTTGCGTACGTCGGCGTTTCCGATGTACGCGGTCGTCGTTCGACTTTTCGTGATAAACCGCGAGGAGATATATTTCATATTTTTGGAACCATGTTAGCATTATTATTATTATTATTATTATTAATAATATTATAAATATTATAATTATGTCCCCTTTTTGTAATTATTAGAACGCCGATAAGTCGAAAAAAAAATCTACGATTTATATAATTGAGAAAGCATACAGAAAATATATGTTAGCGTTGTTTAGAACAGATAAATATTATATTATGATACCAGATCATAAACAGTGAATATGTTATGTAAAATCGCCGCCTACGATTATTGCTCTGTCCCCCTTCTTTCTCCAAATCTCGCATAGTAGAGTTTCGTTTCTTTTCGTTTTATCACAGTGGAGGAGACAGAAAGAGAAAGAGAGAGAGAAAGAGAGAGATCCTTTATTATATTTTTACACAACGTGTCTCTTACTTTTCTTTTTCGCTTACATTCCTTTCTTTTTTATTATGTCGAAGTTACGAGCCCTGCTCTTCCATGAGAGTCTGAAGAATTTGGTACTTCTCAAATTGTTTGTCTGTCGGTAGTTTAAACATCGATTTGTTAATTAAAAAAAAAAAAAAAAAAAAAAAAAAACAAAACAAAGAGCAGTGCGGTTGGCCTCAAACAAGAGATCCTCTTGCGAAACAGAAAAGCCTACTGCTGCTGCAAATCAGTGACAAATGAGATAAAACGCGGCGTTCAAATATAAAAAATGCACATTTATTGAAAGTGATATAAGTACAGTAAAAGGGGTAAACTGTAGCGCAGTGCTGAGTGCACGTTCTCAGGTTGTGGGGCTTGTTTCTCTTTTCCTTTTTTTTTTTTTCTTTCTTTAAACAAACCCCGGGCAATGTTTGGCTCGATGAGTGAACACGCGAGAGAATTGAGCGCGAAAAGCGATTAAAATGCGCTCGTACGAAGGAAATGCAGCGACTTATATTTGTTTATATTTATATGGAACGATTCGAAAGATCATCACGAATAATGCCCAACTTTGTTATACGAAGCCTCTCGCAGTTAGATCTCAGCAATGTCTCGACATCGTCTCGTTAATTGCCGAGAGAAACTCGGAAATTCAATCGTTGAAATTGTTGAAATAACTGAGTGCATTTCTCAATTGTATCAGCTCCCTATCACTTTCCTCGTTTTCTCGTTCTTTATCATTTAATCACCGAGATTTCTCTTTCCAACGAGCAGATTGAAAATTATCATTCGGCGACGATTACACGCAAATCAATTACGCGAACGTTAACGAAAGAGATCTCGATTTAATTAAAAGACCGACGCGTCGCTTTTTTAACTAATTGGCGCAAATGATACAATCTTCCCTCGGGAAAATTATTCTCTCTCAGCCGAAAGCGAAAAAACAATTGCGACATCACGAGACACGAAAGCAAAGAAGCAAAAGGCGCCAACGATCGCGAAACGATAATTGAATTTAACGCTGAATTGACGTTGAAAGAGTCTGTCCGAAATCTAGTGAACCGTTTCAAGGCCGTTGCTTCAATACTCTTTCAACTTGAAAACAATGTTTCCGCGGGAACACGCTTGACATTGATGAGAAACGAGATTCGGTTTTTCAGATTCAATAATTCAATTGGAAAATCTTGGAGGATGACATATCAAGACAATCGAGTGCAGCGGAGATTGCTCTACATTCGAATGGCCTTGGAACATCAATTGATGTCAGACAGACGATACTATCGATCCACAGACCGCACTGCTTTGCCACATCGGTGAAAGAACGGAATAAACGTACACTGCCAGCCACAAATATTAGGACACCGAGGTTGATAATTAAATTTCAAGCGAGTCAAACGCTTCTTCGCGTTTTCTCTTTCGAGATATTTTATATTATAAATCTTTCGCTGCAAATTTTCGCAAGTGTAATTAAAGTATGAAGTTACGTATGTCGTACTTTCGATATTTTATTTATATTCTTGCATATATTTCGTGTGAAGATTCACAATCTGTTTATTGTACGTGCTAACTGTTACAAGTAAAACCTATGTCCTGATATTCATAATTGGCAGTCTACAATCGCAACGTACAATCCACAAAATCGCGGACAATAAATTCTTCCAACGTTATTATTCGATATAAAACACTCAACGCGATTATTTCCCAACTATTCGTCCAACTCCAAAGAATCGTTTGCCAGACTTTTTGTTTCCAATTTTTAATGCGTACATATTACAATACGGGACGAAGAAAAATATTCCTCCTAAAAGTCCGCCAATTATTTTATTCGCGCTCGTCTAACATTCCTCTTTTTTTCCCTCTCTCTTCGAATTTTATACTTCGTCTTATTTCATCTATTCTCATTTCCATTTCAATCTGTCGAGTATCGAACGTCGGCTATTCTCTCTGGACCAGCATTCTCGATTATACACAAAGGCTTTCCTTGATACGAAACGAGGCTGTTTTCTCATTCACGGTGAACTCGATGGCGAGTAACTCGAGACGAACAACTGTCAATCTGGCTGCACAAGTTGAACTTCGCGATAAAATGTGTGTTGCTGACGGATATAGAGGATCGTACACGATATTTTTGGATATGGATGGATTCGCGATTAGGGGTGAGCTGCTTGAATGAACGCCTACACAGCTACGGAGCATCGATCTCGATACTTGTTGTTGATAATCGTTGAACTACGCCAAGTTAAAGACCAAAGGAATGTTTGTACTCGATCAGTTTTAATGGGAATGATAAAACTTGAATTGTACGAACCTATGATTAAAGCTACGAGTATAAAAGATTTCGAAGGTAATCGTTACAAGAAATAGTGCAGAAAAAGAAGAGAAATTCAATCCGAGTATATACGGCTATTGAAATCTAAATTCTACTTGCTAAATGTTAAATCATATTACTCGATTCCAAGGTTCAACGAAAATTAAATGAAAGTAACATCTCTCTTTTTTTTTATTCTTTGCGTGATATAATAAAAATTTATAAACAAACGATAAAGAAAAAATGTTCGATCGTTGCGAACGTGAAGATTCACTTCTCCTCCGAGTAGAGATTCTAACCCTCTATCTTTTTTTAATCACAAGCGACAGGTTCAAACTGAAAACCCGCATGTATAAAATTTTTAAAACTGCTCACGACATCCTCCACTAAAATCGTTCTAAATTTCTTTAATTTCTCTTCCGAATGTCTTCTAAATCTCTGAATTCTAATCACCCCCTGTTCTGGTTTACCTTTCTAATTCCTGACCAAAACGAAGCAACAATAACGCTGAAAAGCCAAGTAGACGAACAACTATTTTGAACCTTTGTTCCCAACAGAAAATCAGTCTAACTTTTTCGCCTTCTTCTATTTTTCCTCCCCCCCTACTCAATCACAATCTGTCAAAATGAAACAAAACGGTGGAAAAAGCGAATGAACTAATTAATTGACTCTTGTAACGTAATCCATCGAGCGTCCCGGTGGCTGTGTAGATCTTGCGTCGCGTCCTCTTCGTCCTGATCGAGGATCAAGGCTTTTTTTTTTCTCTGGGCGTCGTGCGTCGAAGGATCCGCGTGCTGGCAGTGTTTCTTTAAACGTAGCGTGATCGTTTCCCTTTCTCTTTTCAATTTCCCATTCTCATTAAAACGATACATGTATTCAGAGAAGTGTAATATGCGTGCGTGTACACGCGTGAACTGTGCACGCGTGTCGTCGCAGAGAGAATATTTTTTTAGCCCGTCTGCTAATATCCGGCCAGGTCGGCGAACGTCTGATCCATCTCGTCGGCGATCGCTTTGTACTTACAGCGCTCGTTTACCACCACGTCTGCAATGCAAAAGGGAAGGTTTTAGGCAGTATTAGTCGGACAGTTAGATGCCGCGTTAGTTCCCGGCGTCTTTCACCGACGCTGATTTTTATGCATTTTATACGTTCCACAATTCATTCACCCTAGTTTTTCTTTTTTAATTTTATTTTGGTTTATTTCCTACACGAAATATATATACGGGAGTGAAAATTTCTAAAGTTTCCGACTACAATATTCGGAAAACGAAAGAAAATTTAGGTTTCTGCGTGGAAAGCGTGTGAATTGAAATATTGTAACGTCGGGGCGTTCAATGCATAAAAATCCGCGGTCTAATTATTAATATCTTGTTAGAAAGAGAGAGAGAGAATGTGTTATTAACTTGGTAGAGGAACTGTCTTTTACTTCAACCATAGATTCATCCCAGTTTTAGTTAGGAACTGTAGGTATATCTTACACCTTTATTCGAGGTAGTTTAGGAGGAATAATTAAAACTACAATTTTTAATTTTAGATCGTTATTATTACTTGTTAGTACTGTTAACAGGCGAAGATTCAGAAAGGATTTTACGTGTGAGGATCCCATGTGTGAAAGAATACATGGAGTAAATTTGAACGTTTTCTCTTTATTTCCAGAAAACATTTATCCTTAGAACGTTATCTGTGCTCACAATAAGTACAATAGCCAACAAATAAGATAAGACCGTAGTTTCAGGGCTAAATCTTTATTTGCCTGTTTGCCTGGTTACAATGATCGACGAATGAATACGAAAAACTCGTGAGTCGTCGAATGCCAGTACTTACCGAATACGTTCTCTCGCTAAATTGGAATACTATTTATAAACGAGTGATTCGACTGAACATAATCTAGAGTAGGTAATAATCAGTGAGTAATTTACAAAAAAAGAAGAAAAATTAGGTGTCGATCGAATAAAATTGAAAAAGTAAACGAAAGAAAGAAAGAAAAAACAGAACGAAAAGGAGGGATCGAACGCGAAGGGAAGTATTTGTTTCAGATATGCAAGAGTTTTTAGATACAAGAGTAATAGTAATAATAATAATAACAGTGTAAGCGAAATGGCCGGTTTTACAAAGTGGCCATGACAGTGTATTTCGTGTTTGTTGACCGATGCACGAAGATTGGCCAATTACTTCGACAGCCGTTGGACACGTACGATCGCCGATTATCAATTAATTCTTCTCGATCAGCTCGGTGAAGGTGAGGTCCAAATCGTCGCAGATGTATTTGTACTTTTCTTTCTCGTGTACGAGCTCGTCTGAAACGAAGAGTGTTTTCGTTAGAAAGTTTATACGACCAAAAGCGATAACTGACATTACGTGTACGTATACTACGAGACAATTTTTGTATCCTAAAACGTAGAAAAAGTTTCAAAATGAATCGATGAGTGAAAAAATGATCTCCGATGACAAAAAAAAAATTGATTTTTTTAACTCTTTGTACTTTGGTTTCTACGATATTTTATTACCGTATTGAAACTTTATTAATTTCCGATTGAAACGTCACTCGACGAAGCAACTTTTAAAAAGAAAAAAAAAAGACAAAGAGTCAAAGTGAAGAAAAAAAAAAAAAAAAAAAAGAAAGAAAAATGATAGTCACAACGCCAAAGTGCGTTCTTAGACGATAATTTCCTCCGATATCCCCATCTTGTGTCAACTCTACAAGGGATTATCGATCGACGTTCCATTCTCATGGAAAAAAAAAAAAATTAGTGCCTCGTTAGTTAAGTAGCTGGTTAAGAAGCTTGAGAAGTAGAACTTACGGATTACGTGGTTAAGAGCAAGCGAGATTGTGAGAAAGGTGATTGTATGATATTTTTTTGATGACTTTTATATATATATATTTTTTTTTTTTTATTAATTTGGTCGAAGCGTTAGAGGGGTTGGTTAGTGGCTCGTTAGACGCCGTAGAGTTCCTCGAATGCCTGATCCAAGCCGTCTCCGACTTCCTTGAATTTCTCCTTCTCGGCCACCATTTCATCTGCAAGCATTCGCAATGTTATTTCTCGATGAAAGTTCGCTAAACACAGTTCGATGTCTGCTTGTTGGTTGGTTCGATGTCGGTGTGGTAAAGTGTCGGAGCAGAATCTAAGAGAAATCTACGAGAGAAGGTAAGTGCTAAAGCTGTTGGAAGTTGTGGTTAAGAGAAGCTGTGAAGCGTCGGTCTCGCGACAGGAAGCGGGGGCTCTAGAGCAGATTGAATCTGTTCTTGTTCGAATGTTTTAGTAGAGATGAATGAGACTGACGTATCTTTGACAGCGGCGTGCAGACCATGAAGTCTGAATTATGGTTTATGATGCATGACGTAACGTGGCGTATGTAACACGAATATGTATATATATTGCACATCTAAGCGTACAAAGAATGACGATCCTTCGTTCTATCTGTAGTCTTTTTTTCCGAGTCGCGATCTCTTTTGTAATTATTTATTTACCTTATTTCGTACGGTAAATTAAAATGAATGTTTACTGAAAAAAAAATAGTGCCAATTTTATTTAATTCTGTTTAATAAAATTTGATTTAATTTTTACTTGACACAGTTAAACATTTTTAATCGGAGATTAATCAATCAGCAGCTGGCGAATACTTTACGATTTTCCGAGATCGCGACTGAAAACGCAAGATCTACACTACAGTCTATTTTTTTTTTTTTTTTTTTAATGAGAGAGACTATTTTTTAGAATTCTACGTTTTTCCACGGATTTATAGAAAATGCAAGGGACTGATCGAAAGTGGTGTCGATTCGAAGGAAACGAACATGGCGTCACTCGAAACTTTCCTCACGGTCGCGTTCTCCATTTAAGAGAGCTTCGACGGTCCAGAGGAAAGCAACGGTTATGTCACCGGTATTTTACGTCTCCGTGAATCACCACACGACTTCGGCATCGAGGACCTTTACACTTTACACATATGAATATACGTACGTCTATATCTACATCTATACACTTACTGTACACTTACTCTATCGTCGGAGATATCTTCCGAATAAACGGTCGAAAGTTTGGCGATTTTTATCGATGGAGAAGGGAGAGGGTGGTCATGCTGGACGAAAATTTCGAGGACTAGCAAAGAGAAAAAATAACAAGCTGAGTTTTACTCACCACGATTATTTCGATACGTACCATGGACACGCGTGATCTTTCCGATTCTCCTTCATGTGCTGCGGCATGCAACAACTACGCACACAGCTAACACAACGGGCAGCGTCGTCTGTTATATATATCGCGTTGTACACACAGTTGGACATGGTCAGTAGTTTATTGCTTTCCTCTTTCTTTACTTTTTTTTTTTCTTTTTTTTTTTTGTTAAAAGATCCGGGAGTCAAAACTTTCACGGATTGGATTAGAGACAAACTGACAAAAATTAGAGAAAAAAAAAAGAGAAAAAAAAAGAGCAGGAAAGAACGAACATACATTCGCACACGTTGGCAAACAAAAACAAACGACACGCTGTTTTTTCAAAATTAAAATATATATTACAAACAGTTTTATAATAATAGCAATATGTATATAATAATCATTACAATGATATTAGTGTTATTATCGTTCCATTCGTTTGTTGTTTCATTAATATTAAGTAAATTAATAAACTAAAACTCTCAAATGTGAAACTCAAGTATCTGCAAGTTTCCTGTTTTATATATGCATTTTCTCTTCTCCTCTCGCTCTTGTTTTCACTCACTCGCTCATTCATTTTTTCTCTCTCTCTGTTTCTTTCGTTCATCCTTTCTTTCGCTCTGCTGGCATTTTCTCGAAAAAAATAAACAAAAAAAAAAAAAAAAAAAAAAAAAAAAACGGGAATGACAAAGAAATGTCATCATCGTTCAACGGTTGAACGCGTGGAAACGTAATTATTGTGCTTTCTTTATCTTCGTTTTTCATAATCATGCTTTGCTTCTCATGCACGCACACACACACACACACTTTCTCTCTCTCTCTCTCTCTCTCTCTCTATCTATTTTTTTCTTCTCTTTTATTATCGTTCTCTCTATAGAGTAACTCGTTTTCGATCGCTAGACGCGCTTCAGGATGTCTTCTCGAGATCTCAAAATACAAACATTGGCGTTGCTCACTTAATCACAAATTTCAACCAACATCGAATGTAAGAAAACTCGACAGAATTATACCTCTTTAATGAGGTATTTTAATCCATCTACACGGGAAATCTCAAACACTATTGCACGGAACGTTCTTCGTCTGTTTTATTAAGCTATCCTAATGGAATGATATTTTTAATTGATTTCTATTTGAATTTTGTCGGAGAGAGGAGCCCCTAACCACAGGTGTCTCTTCGACACTCCAATTTAAATATCCGTTCCTCGTTTATCGCGAGGACACGCGTTCCACTTCATTCCGATGCAACATTCGAGAAACTAGCCGCAATCGTGGCATTTCTTCGCGACGAGTTTGAGCGGAAAAACTTTCTAAACTTCGCCTCGACAAGACACCTGGCAAGCCGCCGAACGAACGAGAATCAGCCAAGGGATTAAATACGTAAGGTGGACAGGCAGTTTTGTGTTCCTCGCGATGACAAATCAGGGGGTGGTGACGATGGAAGTTGAGGATTACTAGTACGTAATCATCAGGTAGTCTTGACACGGATGCAGACGTTGATTAATTAATTAACGATATCGATATAACCGCGGCGATCGCAAGGTGAAATGACACGTCGCGAGATATTCGAAGCACTCTTGTCCTTTCTTTTCTTCTTTTTCTTTTCTGCCTTCCTCTTTCTCTCTGTTTCACACGAATCGAGGTTTTCCCGTGATTGGCCACTGTACTGGCAAACGATCATTACTATATAACAAATTAATATCCAGGCACGATCGGTGAACGTCGAGCGGCTCAGCGTGAACCGGAAGAGAACTCTCGCTTCACGATTGCTCCGTCAGTTTAACTGCGATCGCAAGTTCACCATTTCTTTTCCTGCGCGAGGAAAAATTCCAATATCAACGGGATTCTATCTACAGGAATCGAATCTCTTTCAACGCGATCGGCATCGTCTTGTTGTCGAACGTTTACGCGACGAAACGCTGATTACACGGGGGAACACGGTGGTAGAAAATTAGAAAAGGAGATTCCACCCATTCTATTTGGAAAATCAATCCCCATTAATGTTCACGGTTAATGAGATGTTCTTGCTCGAAATCTACGTTAACGTCGTTTCCTTTCCTCAGTCAGGTTGCAACAATATTTCCGGTTGGAGTTTCTCAATGAAAGTTTCTGCCAAAAAAATAATAACAACAATTCTGCAAATAGCGGAATGAAATTCCCCGAAACGAGAAGTGTCAATGTGTTCGCAGAAGAATCTCTTTCTCTTTCGAACTGGAACTCACTCTCAACCTGCGCTGTTTATTATCGTATACGCCTGCTGACGCACGCGGATTAAAATACAAATGTACAAAAAATTCATTACACACTGCGCGTTCTTATAAGTCTTACCTCCGCGCGTATAAAGTTTTAATCGGTTTTACATCTAACACTAGCGCGAAACACGAGTTTCAATGTTGGACTTGTTCCTCGGAGGGATCACCTGGCTGGCAGTGAGCGGTCTCTCAGAAGCGTTTTGACATGTATCACGGTCAGTAAACGAACGAGCAGCGGAAGAAGGCCAAGTACGTTTCATTTTCGTGCCCGAGAGCCCGTGGGGAATTACGGAATGTAAACGATAAGAAGCAAACTCGTTCTTTATTTTTTCCTGTCTCTTCTGTCTCGACTCGCAAACGCGATTCTACGTCGGGGAAGAACTCGCTTGTACCTTCGAATTTGTCAAACATTCCTTCCCAAGCGTTACGATATGTAATCTATTGAGATTTCTCGTGATATGTACGAATCGACTACCGTTTTCTTCCTTGTCGCGGAACTTTTTTAAAAATGGTGTAGCTAAGGCTGTTAGAATTCTCGATAGCGGTAGGTTAATTAATTTGAAAAGCAGAACGATCGTACTGGGGGTCGAATGTGAATCGCAGAGGATCGAATTGAATTAGATCGAACGGAACAAGGTTGAAAATACTTGACAGACTCGATCGAAAAATTCTCCCTCGACGTACACGCTTCGATCGACTTTTGCCTTTTCTATTTCTTTCGTTCTTCTCCCTACGCGCGTAAACTCCGAGATCGTGAGAATGATCAAGCGTCACTCGGTAATGACGAAAGCAAATGCGATTCGATTAAAAGCGAGTGTAACGATGTCAGAGAAAACGAGAAGGGAAAAAAAAAAGACGGAAAATGAAAAGAAGAAAAGAAACACAGAAGGCAAAGGTGAAGTTTTATCTTCGATTCCCTTTAACGAGCTGCACACCCTATCTCTGTTTCTTTTTCCCTCGTTTTCCTATGTATTACACGTTGCACTCGTTTGCTATCGTTTCGTTCTTTTCGGCAAGAGAAACACAATCGTTCGAGCGTACGCAGCGCATGAAATTTGTAAATGTTTCTCTCTCAAACGAGAAAGAGAGAAGAATGAAAGAAAAGGAAGAGAAGAAAAGAACAAAAAAAAAAGTAATAGAAGCTGTCAAACGCTTTCACGAAATGTTTTATGAAAGCACTCGCGTCGCACAGCGTGTGTACGTATTTTGTTTTCTCAAACGATACACCTCGCTGAATATCGTCCAACTTGGAAAAAAAACTTGAAAAAGAAAAAAAAAAAAGAAAGAAAGAAATCTATCGACGATCGACGTTCGTTCTCCGTCCCTCACCCCTTACGAAAATCATGGTTCCACTGCGTTTATTTTTACTCTCTTTAAAAAGTCTCTGCTTCGTTCTTTCAATCGCGAAGTAATCGTAACCCCCTAACAACTACGTAATCCTTTCTTTTCTCAACGTCTCTGATATTCGTTTTTTTTTTTCTTTTCTTTCTTTTCGCTCGTTTTTCCATTACTCATATCATCTTTTCTCTCGTCTTTCTTTTTTTTCTTTTTTTTAATTTTCGTTTGCTCTCTGTATGATTTCTGTCAGCCGCGAGATACGATCTACATGTTCTGGATGTCATGCAGGGTGGCCTCCATCTCTTCCTGGAGCAATTTGTTTTTCTCTCTCTCGGCGGCGAGGTCGTCTGCAAAGATCACCGGTTAGAGGGAGATTGCACACACGCACACAACGAGCACAGAACGAGCGCGCGACTGTCTCGTTGATCGCGGGTCTACGTGCTCTCGAGGGTTGGCAGAGGTTAGAGAAAAATGGAAAGAAACACGTTCTGATCATCGAGCAAAATACACACGCGACACACACGTGACCGGTTACATCACCGGTTTCATTTAGGTTTTAGATCGTCGTCGTCGTCGTTAGCATTAAAATCAGCTATTAGCATTAAAACACGTGAGATAGACTTCGACTGCAAACGACAGGCATGATGGAAGTGAAATCGATCGAAACTTTCCCAAAAGTTGCCGATTTTTAAAATCATTCTTCTTGGTGAAAAGAAGTTGATAAAATGTTGAACTGTTCGCCAAGGTGAGGGATACAAATTTCTAGTACTCCACTTAGACTGTCGTCTGCGGTTCTATTAATCATTGGATGCATTCAAACAAAACTCGGGGAGCTGGGCAAGAATTTTGGAATGAAGCGATGTTATGTTACGGTTCGTGGTTCGTTAATAGATATACCCTAAGTTGGTTATCGCAACTCGTCTGAATGCAATCTCTTACTTTCGGTAATTCTGCTCCCTTCGACTCGTTTTCTTTATTAACGTTCGATTTGCAGTTCTCTCTCTCTCTCTCTCACTTTCTTACTCTGACTAAAGAACATAATCTCTAAACGCTGAAGATTGAACTAAAGTACCAATGAAAATGCTTTCTATATATATATATAAAAGAAAGAAAAATAAAAAAACTGTTCGAGAAAGTAAAAACTGTCTCGAATATGAGAATCTCGCGCGATGAGACGCGAGAAAAAAACGAGAAATTCGAGAGACGATCCAACATGGAATACGCACCTTCGAGCCTGTCGACCTCCTTCTGCAACTTCTGCACGGATCTTTCTGCGAACTCGGCACGAGCTTCAGCCTGTCGTAACAGGAAGAACGAATGAGTATAACCGCCCTTTCACACTTTCACGTGATTTGTCGTCGATTTTAAAATTTCTACGGGGACAACTAAACTGTCTGTACATGCGTCAATGGCAATAATTTACAGTGTATTACGCATACGTATATTACGTGGCATTCAAATCGAAATGTCAAGAATAGAAGACAATAATCAAGTATTTTCTATTAAAACATTAAATATTTTATATATTCTCTTTTTTTTTTTTTTGTTATGTATCTTTGTTTTAAAATCGACGGATTTTACTTTCATTTGTTTTCATTAGTATTAGTACAACTGCACTCCAAAACAATTTAGCGTTAGTCAATTGCACACGTTATTTTCTGTTAATTTTAAGAGTTTTGATTTCTTTTTTTTTTTTTTTTTTTGTTTTGTTTGCTAACGATTCAACACCCAAACATTCGTACCTCGTTGAAAATTGGGCAGTATCGATATCCATTCGTCGTTTATCAGGGAACGATCAATTGCTAATTGAAATCTTTTTTTGTTCTTTGTTTTTACTTATGCGTAATATGTGGTACTGAATTTATGAAAGGTGTGCAAAGTAAAAGAGGGATGTGTACTAAAAAGAAAAAAAAAAAAGAGCATCTAATTAAAAGAAGCAACAGGACGCAGTATGTACAAAATTCTGCTAACTCAATCAACTCGATTAATAATATTTCGCACGACGAAACCAAGTATTGTATGTATATGTATATACAAGAACGCGAGATATAAAAACATGTATCTTCCGAAGTGTCTGTTTTTTGTACAAAAATTCGCGGTATATTTAAAATACTGCACCGGGTGGGCCGACTGCACTTCCGTTTCGACTCTCACTTACCTCCTTCAACTGACTATCCAAAATCTTCACCTGGCCCACGAAAGTCTCCTCTCTTTGCGTTGCCTATTTTTAGTCAAGCGCAAAAAAAGAGAAAAAAAAAGAACGATCTCACGTTAGCTTTGCAAAAATTAAATAAATAAAAAGAAAAGAAAAAAGAAGGTGAAAAATGAAATGAAACAAAACAGGATGAAAGAAGAAATGACTGAGAATGATGATGGCAAAGAATTACCAGAAAGAGAGCAGCGTGAAACGGTGAGGGGAGATTAGCGTAAAACGTGGTGAACGAGTTAACGATTTAGTGTGTTTAGCAGAAACACGCGACGACAAATCACACTCTGGTCAGAAAAGACCAAAAAAGAAAAAAAACAATCGGATGCAAAACACTGTGGAAAAGGATCTGTACCTCCTTTAGGCGAGAGGTAAGAGTCTTAATTTGGTTCTTGTACTCCTCTTCACGCTGGTTGGCCTATAGTACAGTAACGTGAACATTATGCATCTCGAACATGGAAATTTACTGTTTCTCGATCTCTCCATCGACGCGTCTCTCCTCTTTCTTTTTATTTTTTTTATTCTGTTCTTTTTCGCTTGGTTTGTCTTTTATCTTTCTCCTGCTCTCCTCTGTCAAACGTGCACCACACACGTTTTGCGGACAAACGCGACGATGCATTTCAAAACCCCTCCGTCTCGAGCAATCGTGCATTCATTTCGCGCAACCGTGACAAAATCGCGCGACGCTCCTCCGTTTCCTTTTTTCTATTTTTTTCCAGCAATTTTTACGTCACGCGAGACAATCTGCCGAGAGGCCGCGAGCAACGAGAAAGGAAGGCTCGACGTTTGTTAATGAACGCGACATTACGAACAACAAATCGAATCTGACTTTTCAATCATCTACTCGACAACGAATGGCTAATAAATTGGATTATAGATTGCGAGCTTAACATTTTGCACTCCGTATCGTGAAATCGGTTCTTTATTGTTTGTCTGTTATCTTTAGCGATAAAAAAAAAAAGTGGAAAAGAGGAGGCGGCTACCGTACAGATAAATTTATCAGCGTAATGATTTTTTTAAAAATAAAATTCTGATCGAATTGTCGATCGGGAAAATTTAATTACAGATAAATTTATCAACGTAATGATCTTTTCACTGTAAAATTATGATCGAATTGTCGATCGTGAAAACTTAATTGATCGGGACAAGGGTTAAAGAGTGAATTCAGAGTATAGCTTAAAATTCATATGCGCGCGAGAAACATTTACGAGGTACGGACTGGTCGGTACGAACGTGAAATGAATTTAGAAGAAAGAGAAAGTGAAATAGACATATGTATATATATATTCGAGATTTTGTAGGTATTTGTCGTGACTGGTTCTAAGCTGGTACTTACCTTCTCTTCGGAGACCTCGAGGGACTTCAGGTTGTTGCCAACTACGCGCAGCTCCTCCTCAAGCTCGACGATCTTCCTGTAAAACGAACGAACCATTTACAACGAATCCATATCGGACATACAAATTCCTACCTGAGTGTGTGTGTGTGTGTGTGTGTGTTTTTTAAAGCGGGAGAATACTGGCCGTTCTTTTTATTTTAATAGAATAATTAAATTTGATCTCTTCGACACTGGATTTTTATGAATTTACTGAACCGCAGTCTTTTTATTTCGAACGAAATAAAATTTTTGATAATTCTCTTTTTTAACAACTCTTGATTAATAAAGAGTAATTTCTGTCTTTATTAATAATTCTTTTCATAAAAATGTTTTAAAGATCCATTGGATGGTTCGGATGATGCTTTCTCCGAAGAAATGTATAATTGTGCAACGAGTTCTAGATTAAAAATATTCTTCCAATAATTGGCGATAATTTTAGATTGATTCATCGTCGACCAGCGTTCGTCCCTTGTTAGACAAGCGAGGAGAAGAACTGTTCGTGTATGTCGAAGAGTATTTTGAAGAATGGCAAGAAGGTAGAGAACAGAGTGACACATGCGCAAACTGAATCGCCTACCTTTCCGAAAGTTCAGCCTTTTCCTCGGCACGCTCGAAATCCTGTTCCATCATGACTAGTTTTCTGGCGACCTGTGATCAACAGCCACACGTGTCATGCGAAAAAAAAGCAAGGATGATGAGGATTAAAAAAAANAAAAAAAAAAAAAAAAAAAGAAATTTACGAACAGAAACGAAAAGAAAAAAAGAAATATTCAAGTAAAATACAGAAAACAAAAGTTATATCGTAAAAAAATGCATGCAAATGGCCAGCAAGTATCGGGTCTGCTCTCCTCCTTTTCCATTGGTCCGCCAGTCTGCTGCCGAGAGTCGATCGTGACTCGAATCTTGGTCAAAACGCTCTTACATAGATACTTCTATCCGAGAAAATGAAATTTCGTAAACGACATGTAAATAGCCAAGGAAACATACAATCGTATTTAATTATTAAATTCCCGAGATTCCATTCTCTCGGATGCAAGAACTGAAAGAGAGATCTCAGTCATAAGCGATAACGACTAAATATTGTCAATTTTTATACAGAAGTTCTCTTCCTTTACAACCTAAAACAATTATTCTACAGATTCAGGCCTCTCTTTTCAAAGTACGATCCGTGAACGAGATCGATCGCAACTGAGCGGAACCTCCTCTCAGTTCAACTCAAACAGCAATAAAACTATGTGAATTTTCGTCAAAATGAAAACTCACAAAAAAAAGAAAAAAAAAAAAAAAACAATCAAACGGAGGAAACACACTTCCGCACGTGATCACGTATTATCAGTGGCTTTTAATCGTGTCTTTTAATGCGTGTACGTGTACATATTGCGTGACAAGCGCACATCCACGTGAACTCGAGCGCACGTGAGAAAGTGTAGCGAATAAACAGCGGGTGGGAAAATTCGGGGCGCAAAAGGAATTGGCGCGGGTTGTTGTCACGGGCGCACGCTCTCAAAATTTCGCAAAAGTTGCGTTGTTAATGCAAGGAAAAGAGAAGTGTGGTGAGTGATCGATTTTTCATTTTGTTTGTTTCTGAAAAAACAACGGGATGCTTACGACTCTCCGGCCTCGGCACGTTCCTCGGCACGTTCTAGATCGGCCTCAACCATGGCCAATTTACGGGCGACCTGTATAAACGACACACACACGGTTTCTTTTTGTTTCGTTTCTCTCTCTCTCTCTCTCTCTCTCTCTCTTTCTTTTTCCAGCCAGTCACTCGGCTCGCTCTTTCTCTCCTTCTCTCCCTTTCCGTTTCGCGCGCGTCTTCGTGTTCCGACCAGGCATCTGGGCCAAGATCGGCGATCTCGCGCCTCGATCTTGCCGCCATCACCGCCCCACGGTCGAGATCACCGCGTTTCCGACCGGCTCGATGCCTGCTCCGCCAACTGGAAGAGCTCACTCCTTTCCCGTCCAAGTGCCTCGTCGTTCCATCGACTTCACTCGGTCTGGTTTTCTCTTTTTTCGAAACGATATCTCGAACTTGGGCGAACTTCCAAACTGATATGATATCGGTGTAGTTAGTCGGAAGTTGCACGGAGCTGGCGACTGACTTAGCTCGATTTCAAAGATTCAAGCGGTGGAATATAAAAATTTTGTTCGTGGTTTTGTCTCAGCTTTGACAAAAGAATCGATCTGTTTGCCTCAAAGAAAAAGGTAATTAATTACACGTTCTCCGACCGTAGAATTGTGAATCGATAAGCGCTGCAAATAAATTAATTATCTGGCAAATGGAATCGAAGATTCAAAGATATGAACACGTTTTATCTCCACTCGAAAAAGCTACCAAACCTCTCGATCCTCCCAAGAACTCCATCTTCACGTTCCATCTACCCGACCGAAAGAAAACAATTTTAATCGAAAATTCTTGTTCCGCCAGCCGTGATTCGAGATATCCCGTCCTTCGACGTTCTTCTAGACTTTGCCAAAAATTCGACGCGTATCCCAGAGGAGACTCAAGTGGAACGAGTGGAACGAGTCGGAACCACTTAATCATCTCTTTGTTCCTTCGCAAATATTCTCCCATTTATCCGAGTTAGCTCGCCGCGCTCGGTTAAGGGGTTAATAGTATTCCGTGTTCTTGCGCGCGCGAAATCCCCACCGCGCGACGGGAATCGCAAATATTGAACCAGTGAAACACTAACCGTGAAACGTGCTCTCCTTTCTCTGTACTGGGCCATTTCGTTCCGAGCCAGACTACAGTCGAACGAATAACAGAAACTTGACGACAACGAGGCACGACGAGAACAGAATTTTCAACAAAAATTCCAGATAGAGCTCGTGTGGGCTCGGTCTCCGCTCGGTGGAGAAACACGTTCGGATAATCTTTATCGGAGGTGCTCTGTTCCAGAAACGCGTCTCGCAAAGAGCGAGCAGCGAGAACAGATAAGGAGTGAAGCGAGAGAAGAGCGTTCCTCTCTCCGTTTCGTTCGCACGAGATCGTCACGAACGGATGGAAATACACGTATGCATACATACGTATGATACACGCAGTAACAGCGAGGTCACCGTGGAAAAAACGAAGGAGAATAATTCACGCCCGACTCGCGCGGCATCAACCACGGAATGAAGCTGTTCACAGCACGCTGGAATGTCCCTTTCGTTCGTTCACCACGAAGACCTTTCGTTCTACGCATGCAACCAGCCAGTGTCTTTTATGCGAGCGTGACGCAACCCCCTCGTTCCACTGCCGCTTCATCCACGTGACAATTCTTCGTGTCACATATCTTTCATTTCGATGACTTTTTCACTCGATATATATATATATATATATATATATATATATATATAGGATGGTCACTGAAGGACTGAATGATACAGAACAAACATAACTTTTACAAACACACGTTTTTTTTTTAATTTCTTGTTGTTTTATTTGGAAATATAATTAATGGATCTTTCTCGGTATTTTTTTCTATAACCTACAAAATATAGAAAAAGATTGAAAGTGAACAAGTTGTGATCTTCAGTTTTTCAGTGGCCACCCCATAGAAATATAGAGATTTCGAAGTAACACGCGGGTACTGTAATTGTGATTTTTTTTTTTTTTTTTTTTGGAAGCACAATTGCGAAACACGAAATAATTTTCGATCGAAACCAGAAAAATTGATATTTCGCGAAACGTTATCAGAGCCCCGATACAACCGGGCCAAAGCTCTTGGCATTTGACGAGAGGTTTGCGCAACGTTCGCGAATCCCAGATAAGCAATTATTGCATCCGGGTTAAAACACAGAATGAAACGTGCTCACACGCTTGGTTAAGGCTCGCCTTTGTTGAGTTTCTGCAATAACTGTTATGCGTTATGTTAAATTATGTTAAAGAGACAAGCGGAATCGGAATCTCGCGAGTTTCATCCGTAGTCACTGCAAACGTTAAGAGACATTAGCACACAGCTTTGATTAGTTTCCAGATGCTTATTAATACGATGACACTCGAGAGAGATAAATGATGAGTCTGATTATATATATATAATGTATTATTGGAAGAGGATACAGACGCGTTGAAGTTACAACGATGTTCCTTGAAATACTAGAGAACCGTTCTACGCGAGATTATTTTTTAGTAAGTGATCTTCTTCGATCGTCTAGCGAGTTTACGAACGATTAGTTTACACGTTCAATTTTCTTCAGTTCGCCAGGAAAGTTCCGCGAATGATTTTTACTTTATTCTCGTAAGAGACGGTCGTTCGAACGTATCGTAACGTGAAAGCGAAATCAAATCTACGGAAAGAATTCCAATCGCTTTAGACGCGCAACAGCCAAGTGAAGGAATGTCGTTATTATTTCGAATTTCAAATTATCACCGCTCAAGAAAGAAGACGAAAGACGAAAATAAATTTTGTTTCTCGATGCGTGGACGTTGAAGTAAAACGCACGTTTCATTAATCTTTGTAACTTCGACGTCGTCGGGGCGCAACCTACCATATAAACAGAGATGGATTTTTGGAATATTTCTCTGAGCTACGTTCCGAATTCCAGGAAAGCGAAAAGAGGGCGAGTCATTGGGCAAAAAGGCAGCACCATTTTAATCGCGCGAGGGAACGAGAGGCACACGATCTACCTTCTCATCTCACAACACAGAATACGCGTTAACCGTGTATTTTTAACGAAGCCAGTTTTTCCGATTAAACGAACCGAACACGCGGTATTTATGACGAGATTGAGAAACGATCATCCTTATATGCAAATAAAAATTTTTTTTCTTTCCTTTTTTATAAAACTGGCACTTGAAACTTCCTTTTCCTCGTCCCCCCTCCCTTTTTCTTTGTTCCAACAAAACACTTGGAAATCACAGATACTTATACATGCGATTTTTCAATATTTAAGTCGCGCTCAAAACACGTGACACTATCGTTCATACGCGTGTATCACTCTTTTTTTTTTTGTTTTTTCTTTTTTAATATTTCTCAAAAAAAAAAATTACTTTGAAACACTGCACTTCTAACCAGTAGTAGTAGATCGATCAGTCGTTATCTCACTTACTCGACGAAATCACAGACGAAATACAATATCTTTCCTTTCTTTCTTTCTTTTTTTCCTCCCCTTTTTCTCGTTAAATCACTGTTTCGTTATATTTTTCGTATTTTTACCGGAAACGGAGATATCCTTCGTTTTATGCAGAACGAATTCGAATGCACGATCGACGCGAAAGAATCGAAGTTACCTCGGACCAATTCGATCGAGGTATTCCCGGGAACGAGCGACGCGTCTACCTTCGATCGACATCGTGTTAGTAGATTTTTTCGTTTCATTTTTTTTTTCCTTTCCTTTTTGTTTCTCTCAAATTATACCGGGTCGCGGTGACTTCGAGCACACAGAAAAAAGACAGAGAGTTACGGGGTTAGGCACTATTATCTCGGCTATCAACTAGGAACCATCATCATCATCATTATCATCGTTATTTTTATCATGATCATTGTCACTGCAGCCATCACGCTTGTCAGCCGTGGGCTCGCGAACCTCATCGTATTTCTTGTCAGCCTCTTCAGCGAGGAACCTGGCCTCCTTCAGCTGATTCTCGAGGGCGTCCATACGCTCTTCGTCGGCCAAGCTGCGATTCTCGAGAATCTTGCGGGCTCTTTAATAATTGTCACAGAAGAAGAAATCCGGATTAACATACATTGCGAAAGGGAATGTCGCTGGAAGGGAAAGTTTTTCTTTTTTTTTTTTTTTTTTTAAATTATCGATCGCTGCGTTCTCCCTTCGTCGCAAGCGAGGGCCCCAACGGTGATACAGCACTGCTCTCCAGCTACCTGCTAAAATTCCTGGAAAGATACCTGCGAGAGCCAATTGCCGCTCCCTCTTGACGAACCTGAATCTTCCCCCAGCAATTTTATACCACTCGTCCAGAGGATTTATTTTCACATTTTCATAGCACAATTTAACGTAATATTACGCAATACAAGTATAAATGAAACAGAAGTGTATAGTTAGCTGACTAACAAGTGTAGAAACTTGAAAGAAACATTTCCAGCCAACTATTTCGATAAAATACTACGAATTCGAGTTGCAACAACGCAGCTAACGCAAACGGAGACAGTAAACGCGACGTTTCAATTGATGTTGCAAAATGACTAAACACGTTATTCAAGTTATCCATGGAATGTGTTGATCAGAGTATGTGTAATTGATTGTTGGTTCGTCAAGGTGAGTACCAAAATGGCCACCGCAGGTTCGACGCGAAAAGATTGATATTTTTTTTCTTTTTTTCGTTCGCTGGTTCGTGACCCACCTCCTCGTATTTTTTATCCGCCTCCTCGGCAATCAGTTTAGCCTGCGCTAGCTGTTGCTCCAACAGGGACACCCGGTCGTCTTCCATATTGGTACGGTTTTCAAGCGCCTTGCGTATCCTAGTGATCGATTATCATTCGACTTTTTAGCATCGGTTCGATCGCCGTTGAAAGAAAGATCATCGACACAGGCGGAAACAGGTTTCTCTCGCGGTTGTGAGTAAAATATCCTTGGATATTTTTCATTGACCGTTTAGAATATCGCGCGCGACATTAGCATTCATTGGCATTCGTCATTAACATTTCTAATCCCCGGTGGATTTGAATTGATACTCCAAGTGAGATATTCAAATGAAAAAGCTTGTCCCTGTTTCCTGCTCTTTCGTTTCTTTGATAATTTTAGCATTAATCTTTTGGATATCATTGATACATCTTTTAGATCTCTTAGATATAATACTAACATCAAAAAAAAAAAAAAAAACTTACTCCAAAACTAGTTAGCTATCAATTTCTTTTTCTTTAACCTCGAACACGTCATCCGCCGCGTTATCAGTCGCGAATGATATCAATTTATCCGCCATTTTCGTATCATTTTTTCAAGTTCTGATACTAATCCACACACGCACGAAACAGATATTGCTCGTGAAATTTTTATCGACGCGGGCAACAATCGGTCGATCTGAATCGAGTGCGGAAAATCCTGAGTGAGTAATTATCTCGAAGTTCTTTCAACGTCGAAAAGAGTTAGTCCTAGCGAAATAATAAGTAATACCGTGACGGTCGAAATTCGAGAGAAAGAGCGAGTGACAACGATTAGATTTAATCATTAAATTTTTATGTTCAAGTAGAAAAAAAAAAAAAAAAATAGAATCATTCCACTTTTTCGTCATTAGCTGATGAAACGATAATCGAGTTTAAATGCTCGTGTAATAATTGCATCACTATCTGAAATCTATCGATAATTAAGCAGCCATTTTACGCAGACTGTAATAACGAAAATGCACGGTTGGTAAAATCGCCGTAATTACTGGCTCACCGGCCTTCGATTTGCACTGTCACTTGCAATTACGTCCGTGCTTGGGTTTGATCGTCACGTGAATATAACTGGTTTCAGATCTATATTCAGCATTTCACCGCGAAACATTACAATGCAACATTGTGCGATTATTTATAAATAGATCTGGACGCGAGGAAATATTTAAGTTAAGTTCGTCCGAGGATACTCGCTCTTTCGATTCGGTTTCTTCCAATGTACGGCAGTTAGTTTCGCGGGATTTTTCTTTTTTTTTTTGGGGATCAGACGACCGTCTTCGTGTTTACAAAAGTTAACCCCTTGACAGCCAACTTGGATGCTTACTTGAATAAATTAATGTAAAGTATTGAAGAAGAAGTATCATTTGTTCTGTACACTGATTTACTCGATTTTAGAAGACTAGCAGTCAAAGAGTTAATAATGATTTCTGAAGTTATTGTAAAAAGTCAAATCGATTAACATTCAACGAATTTTGCAAGAACACTAAAATCGTAGTATACTTCTGTAGCTACATTTATCAGGAATACAAGCTTCTGATTATTCTGAACGGCCAACAAGAGCTGTTCCATTGATTTTCATTATTTCTAATCAAGACTTTCTCGTAACGCGATTCGATGAAATTCATCTTCTTTACAATAAGTTCGTTGAGTTTCAATAGAAGTTTAAGTCGCTCCGAATGATCTCGTCCGCGACTTAAGCTACCATCATCTCGCAGGGTAGGCAACAGGCAACGTTGAAAATGTCATCTCGGTCATCTCGTCATCAATGCGCAAGTTATCTAACCTAATAAAAATGAGCAATCTCCGACAACTTAATCGACTTCGCGAGTAGGCGGCGAAAGAGTATGAATCGAACTTTCGCTGAATCGATCAATCAAACGGGGAGGGGTTTGTTATCTACCCATTGAGAAAAGGGCCGCTGCGCTCAAGCGGCTTCATTATAAATATCCGTTGGCCGACGTATTTTCCTCGCATACGTTCGTCGACGGATATTTATAAGATTTACGTGGTCGTCCAATGCTCGATCCGTGGTCGTCACGGGGAAAACGACGCGAGATAGAAACGTGCAATTCGTTTACCGTTCGCTCTCATCCGCAGCCTGCGACGCCTCTGCCAATTTAGCAGTGGCCGTTGCGAGACGTTCCTCCGATCTCTCGAGGTCCTCCTCCAGCAATTGGATACGACGATTCAGGGCGGCTACTTCGGACTCAGCCTGCAACACGCGAGAAAGAGAACATTTTCATAAATTTGCAATTAACGTCCACCATACAAATATCTCAACGAAGTCATTTGTCATCTTAACAAAAAAAAAAAAAAAAAAAAAAAAAAAAAAAGAACGATAAAATTACGGGACAATTTGCAGTGATAAATGTGATCCTTGCAGGATACAAGGCTCTGATTCAACGAATGGTCAACCATTTTGCAACGTCGTAAGAATAACAGTTATCGTTGCGACAAGTTTCAAGGCTGCAATAAATTCATTATCACGAGCGAAAGAAGTTGAGATCAAACAGCAGATAAGCTATCGTCGTTGACGAGTGACGATTGCGCCGTTTATTTTTACACTTGATACAGATTTTTTCTTACTTCCTTGTCCTTGCACATATTCCAGGGGGAAAGACGAAAAAATAAAAATATATACAGAAGGAGAAAAGGTGAATTAAAGAGTCCTACTGTCTACGATCGTACGATCGCGTGATTAGGATTCGCAGGAAGATTCGCCGCCAAGGTCTTCGCTCCATTCGCATATCAATGACCCTAACTTCCTTCCCGAGCTCTCGTGTTCCTCGTAACAACCGATTTAATTGAACAGACAGACCGATTCTTACAGCCTCCATTTACGTTTTCGCGCCAAGTTCCTTGGAAATCGAATCGCTCGTATCGCCCGAGGAAAACAGACTATTCTCGAGATAAGGGAAGCAATGTACAATTAAACGCGCGACTTAACGCTTCGCGGATTAAATATCTACACGGTATGAAACTCGACTCCGACTAATCTCGGTTAATTAAATTCAAATAAATAGAACGTTTCTTATTCTACTCTGGGCTTCTTTCCACTTTCCGCAAAATTGTTGAAACATTTTTATTCGACATGTGTCTCGACGTATTATTTTCAACCCGGGACTTTTATTCAATTATCATCATCAAAGAACAAATGGAAATTTATTTTATTTCATTTCCATCAAAATCAAATGGAAATTATTGCTTAAATTCAATAATTAAGAACTCTGTACTTCTTCGCGGATATTGTCCGTTTACAACGTGTCGATTTATTGCAAAAACTGACCAATACCTTCCTTATCGGGTTCTCGTATCTCTCTCTTATCGAGCAAACCATTCGTTTTCATCATTTTTATCGAAATGAAACGCGTCTACCTAGAATTGAATTTCCTGCCGGCGTTAAAAGGGGGTAAATTAGCGTCGTCTCGTTCCAAGACGCGAGCAAAACGAACGAAACGAGGTCACAAAAGACCCTCCCCGCCACAATGCAGAATTAATTAAAAGCGTTCTTCAATTAAGACACGGAATTGTAACGTATTCAAAAGAACGCGTTTTGTCCACGCATTACGTGAAACGAAACGAGAGCGGCGTTCCGCGCGCACGCCCTTACGAATGTAAATTGCTCGACGCTCGATTACGCGTGTATTCGTCTACGCAACTCCAGGCCCTTGTCCCCGTTTGTTGGCTGCACCTGCGACGATTGTGCGCCGAGCGGATAAATCCCAATTCATCGTGCGTGAACCGGGCATTACGCGTGCTTTCATGCACGTGCCGCCGCTCTTCCATCGTCATTTCGCCCAACACTTTGCATCCGGACCGATTCGATGCGCCTCCGATCTTCGAGCATTTGTTTCACCGCGATCTTTCGCTCCAGAAATCCGACCGAAAATGTCGATATCGACGAACGTACAGTTCTACGAAATTCTCATTATCTTATCTTATTTGCACTCTCGACTCGTGCAATGTACGAAAAAAGACAGACTTGTTTCGTTGATATCTCTCTTCGGTTCTTCACAATTTCAGATATTTCATCTGAAAAATGTTTACCCTTTCGTTCCAACAGAGAGAATCCTGTTCTAATGTTAATTCATGTTCAATCGGTTTTACAACGCTTCGATCCCCACGGGATGTGTCTAATAATGTGCTCCGAAAGGTGCGAGAGACTACGGTTGCCAAGAATTTCATTGGTCCTCCCACTTGAAATGATTCACGAAAAAAAAAAAAAAAAAGACGAGGAACTACGCCTATGTGTACGTCGTAACGCGTACATGTGTAACGATGTAACATACGGATTAAATTGCCGGCCGGATAATTCGTCACAGAGTGTCCGATATTGAAAGTTTAAAAAGCCCTGCGACGCGAGCGCCACTTCCGGTCCCGCGTGTTCCCGGCATCGACAATCGATCAGGTCTATCAGCAGGTCGTGGCACCGGACGATTCTGCGTTCGGAGGAAACTGACACGCCCACGCACACTGCCGCAGCGAGAACAGGTCTCGTCGATCATATCCGCGGCAATGTTGGTAAGTGTGCCAAACTTCCGGCAACCATCACCCTCCAGTTGCCTCCCATTACGTTCTGTTAATTCGACGCGATTGTACCACTGTGTTTATACGTTGCTCGCGTAAATCTTGCAAATTAACTGTGTTAACGATATCTCGCGTAATTAAAGACCAATAGAATGATAGTTAGATCAGAGAATAGGGAGAGCAGGAAAGTGTATTTGAAGTGAAAACATAATTTCCATCACTGTGTACTATTTCAACTATAATATAAATACACGGTTAAAAACTTGATATGAAGCGTGGAATGATATTGGCCCGTCCTATACGCGACGAAAACGCTTCGAGAGAAATTCATTCGAGGCAACGGTACTCGATTACACCGCAAGGTCGTTTTCTCTCTCTCGAAAACTGAGCTAGCAGCGCGTTTTCTAACGAGCCATTTCAGAAATCGCTGCTGCTATCTGTCCGTACGAGAAACGTCGCGCGGCGCGCCAAGCGAATTAAAATGTATCGATCGATCAATTACCAACACGCTAAACCAATAAAACTCGAACGTAAAGCGAAACAGTACAACGATGGGTATTTGTTTATTAATAAATCTGCCCCCAGGATGAGGACAATCGAGGCACGATTATGTAAACTCCTTAATAGATAGCCACGTGCTGCCGTACGGCTCGTACGCGTAATATCACTTTCACGGTACAAGCTAAATCCGTTCATGTCGAGTAAAATCAATGAACCGAACCCACCGGTATATATTCTTGGAATAGATACGTTAGGGACGTACGTGTGGGACGTACGTTGTTAGTTATCTAGTAGACTCTATTAGACGAGAGAGAAGAAAAGAAACAAAAGGACGAGAGAGAGAGAGAGAGAGAGGCGAACAGCAGGAGAGGCCGCATCCACGGCAGTGCACTTCATTGCTCAATGACAAAAGCTCGTTAGTAAAGCTTCGCTGAGCTTCTATCCATTGGCCTTTTAGGACGACCACACGTCGGCGGCAGAAGGCGAGCAACGTCAGGAGATACGTTGACATTTTTCGGAGGCTATCCAAGGTTAATCTCTGCGGTGTAATCGACAAGAAAACAGTCTTTGTTAACCATAACGGATCCTTATAACTGGACTGCGAATAATAATATATGTATGAGAAGTTTAAGGATATTAAAATGTACAGAATGCGTGTAACACGTAAGAGAGGTACGGAATATCCAAGGTATAGTACTACTCTCCTCTCTAGTCAAAGCTAAAGTTCCTACTCTACTATTATCACTCAAAAATGTTTAATTGTTACTAATTATTTCTTTGCTAAAATTTAGAAAACTTCCTAATCAAAAATTCCTTTCTAAACTTCTTCTCTTACTACTCTTGTTTCAAAATTTGAGCCAAGTATGTTAATGTCTTGAGACATGTATCGTATGTTCTACAAGGAAAGACAGTTCTACGAAACGATAGATAATACTGTGACTTAGTTACTTCTTTAATCGATAATTTTGCAGAGGTTAGTCATGGTGGAACTACAGGATGTTACGTCTGCGACAGGCTTCCTCGACAGGGAGTTGAAATATCACCATGGAAAAATAAAATTTTCAAATTTTAACGCCGGTAATTGTAAATATCGCTAATGTAAATAACACGTAACGCATAGAAATAGTTAGCAATATTTTCTTTCCTCGTGCTTAACTTCAAAACAAAGTCGGTTGTATTCAAGAAAATCGTATTCTTGCGTTTAACTAAGTTGATCATCGAATTGAAGTGTTATGATAATGGAAAATATGAGAAAAACCTAAAAGTCTAAACGAATGACCTAGCAAATGACGTATCTAACTAGATCCTCAAAAAAAAAAAAAAAAAGTGAAAACAAGAAGCTTACCGTGTAAAGCTGTCAAATCGTGGCTGACGAATTAGAGCTTACACTCTCTTGTCCCTCTTTAATCCTCTTACAATTGTATGCAATATGTATACTTAAATTTTGAACAACAGATATACATTCTTATATCTTCGATATATAAAATTTTTAATCCACGATAAGCATGCCCAAAAATTGCTACTTTCTAAATATCCTATCTCATACATACTTGTTACACGTGACATAAAATAAAACGAAAAAATGTACCAGAAATATGCACTACGAAGTTTCGCGTGCACAAGTCATAAAATTCTGCAGCTACGAAGCGCATTGCGCACGGTTATTAATTGTGGGCCAGGTACTGTACTAATATTTCCAAAATTACAAAGGATCGTTTGATAAAGGCTGAAGAGTAGCGAAAGAGGTAAGTTTTCAAGCCGGTCCTCGTTGTATTAAGAATGTCTCGAGTGCGAGTCGAGTCGGTGTCCCTTCTATACCCCCCTGGCTGCCCTCTCCAGAGGCACAACCCAGCCTGACGACGTGCCTGACACTCACGATCGATCCTATAGCTGTGTGGACGCCGGCTCCGGCGTTTCGTGTACAAAGGTGAAAATGATTTTCATCGAAGGTTCATCGACTTGGAGAACGATCAACTAATTTATCTTTTCAAGTTAACTTTTTGAAGCGTGATGTCGCTGGACAAAATTTGCTCATTTTTCTTCGATACAGACAGATATCTCTCTCGCAACCCGATCGATACTTTTTCAAACGAATATACCGAGTGAAGTTGAGCACCATATTTCCGGTAAAGACACGCCGCGAACCGTATACGTTCGTTACGTACAGTTCTCGATGAGAAATTAACCGCACAACGAGCCGATCGTGAGATCGCCTTCAAAATCGGTGCATTTCGCATGAATGGTGACTGGACTGGTCGAAATTGACCAACCTCGCTGATTTCTTCCCTTTTGTGCGCACCACGTCTCTGTTCGGGCGTCGTGAAACTTATGAGAAACCAGATTTACGAGATACGTACTTCGTCCGATAGATCAGGTTATGTCAGAAAGTGGGAAAAGTCGAAATAGATAGAAGATAAAGAAGATTGGAAGAATATCTCCGACACAGAGCATCCTACATTGTACGTTCGAGCCGATTCATTAACGGAGAAAACGAACAAGATACGGGTGACGAGGTGATTTTCTCACTCACTTCCTCGCGGCGTATCACTTCCACCTGCAGCCGCTTCTGATACTCCTCGCACTCATCCTTGTACTTCTCCATTTCTTCCTTGGTTTGCCTCATCTTCTTCTTGAGCACGTCAAGAAGGGTGCCTTGCACTTGCCCCGACATGCTGAATATTCGCGCGTGTTACCGTTTTCTCACTTGTGAATAGTCGCGATTACGAGTCTAACGTGCGGGTCGAGGTGACGCTTGAACGACGAACGAGAAAATGGAGAATCTAAGATAGCCGGTAAACACGACGTACGAAGATAAAATATATCGGGGCACAATAGATAACCGGTACCCGTGCGAGAGAGAGAGTTTCGTAGCCTCCGAGCTGTCGTACACTGACGACCACTGGCTGCTGTTGACTGGAAAGCAAGATGGCCGCCCCCGGTCAGGACGCGCATGCGCACTACCGTTTTGCGGACGTTAAATAGTCCCTTGCCCTTAGCGACGCTTCTTCGACGAGGATATTTCGCAAAAAATTTCTATTTTATCAAAAATTGCAATCGATATCATTGTTGTGACGCTTCCTACCATAACCACGCCTGTGGTTACGAGGAATCGGTTCATCGGTTTAATTGTTAATTTTTCCATTTCGTGGCCGTATCGCAAAGCGTGATGCGCACGCCGAGTATCGCTCCGCCGATCGACGTGTCGTCGCGCGCAAAGCCCCGGAAATACCGCGCCCGTCCCGAGCGCGCCCAACCGTTCGAATGGACGGCCGACAACAATTCCTGCGTTGTTTCGCTTCTTCTGCTTTTTCATCCGCATCGAGGGGCAACTCGCGTTTATTCTACGCATCGATGATAATTCCAGCACCAACGTGATCTTCCTTCGACAAACTGGCGATTTCGGATTTTACGACGAGAAGTAGTAGATGGTACGAAATGGACGAGTAACGCGCAAATTTAAATAATAATGAAGATCAATAGTGTAACAGTTAGGTGACCCATGCTAATAAATTATTATTCACTTTGTATGCATTGAAGAGATTTAATAAAGACATGATTAGGAAGAAATTGAAGAGTGAATTGTACCATAATGAACTAACTTAATCATAAGGAACTGACTTATGCATTACCGGAAATAGTGTTTTATTATGTTTAAGAGCAATGTAATTATTATAATATTATTATACGAGTTATTATATCCGTTAATTGAACGTTTTTAATAAATTATGGCCTAATTATTTTATTGGAAAATTTAATTTCGAAAAAATCCGAACTATTTTACGAATAGTTTCATTTGTATTATATATGTATTTCGCAATATAAATTCACAGTATTCATAGTATGCTCTCAATTCAATTTGCAATGCATTTTATCGAGTTTTACTGGCTGTGCTTATTAATTTTAATTGATAGCTTACGTAGCGAACAATTAATTATATAATCTAATCAAAAACTCCGAACGTACTCCGAACTCGTATTATCCGAGATACTCTGTCTTTATATGTCAATAATATTTTATATGGAGAAACTAAACGAGATAAGTCGAAAAATGATTGTACGATATCGTATTTACGAAGAACTACCCAACTCCATCTGTAATATTCAGTCATTCTATCGTAAATTCAAAGAGTATGCAAATCTCGGGTTAGCATCGAATTAAGAACAATCAACTGAATTTGAATGTAGGTCCGAGAATCCAGAGATACATCCGTCAGAATATGCGAAGAATGCAAATACAGATGGCAGCACATGATGCGCGAAATTGTAGAGAACGTGATGTATAAACATTGACTAAGATAAGCGGGCATAAAGAAACAAATCTTGTTTCAAAGGTCGACAATGGCGTTCCAAATTCCGGTGCAATATGTCACGAATATTTTGCAATACTGTTACACATATATCGTGTATCGTCACCGGCTTATAAACGCTTATAACGAAGCGGATTTGTGGGAGCGCGTTCCCGGAGCGATGCTTACGCAATGCTCTCTCGGAGTGCCGAATAAAAGAGCCGCTGGATCTGTGTACCAACTGCCACGTATTTTTAGACTGTTATTCATGTTTAACGCGTATTACCGGCGTAGAGTGGGGTTAGTTTTTGAAAATGAGTTCCAAAAACATATTATACATATATACGATATGATATTTCTTTTATTTGTGAAGTTATTTTTACCTATTTTGTAAAAATATGAAAATTATCAAGATTTTTAAAAAATTATTAAACTCCAATTATAAACATATTTTGACGACGGATTGTTGCACTTTTAAGAATAGGTTAGGTTCCTCATGAAACACAATGTATTATATAATTTGTAAAAACTTTCAAGTTTGGCAATGTAGCACTCACTTAACAGACGCGTCATACTTGAACGAAATTAAACCGAAACGAATTACGAATGTGGTAAGAATGTCGATGGACGTGATCGTACATAAATAATGAGAGAATTCGAGCTACCTGGCCGTACAGTTGCCTGCAGCTGACGAAATAAGAATGCCATTTATCGTGTTGGATGAAAGAAAGAAAGGTTCAACCCATTGTCCCCGTTCAGTAACCTCAACAATAAGTGTCCTTTGTCGGGCGATCGTGCATCATTGAGCCTCGTAAAAAGTCCCTTGCTGCTAAAACTACTAATGGTTCTCTTGAGTATTATTACACGATCGCGACAAGTAATGCATTATTTATTTAGCGCGCGATAATGTGAACTGATTTCGACTTCCAGTTGGCAACGGCTGAAATTCCGACGTATTAATCGGCCTTTCTCTAATCAACATTCGCGGCGGTTCGGTAATTTTCCAGAATGAACGGTAGAAAAGAGCGTGTAATTGAAACGTAACAAGAAATGGTAACAAGAGCTGTCTGCTTTGCAAACCTTCTCGAGCAACGTACAATTTAATGGTCCGCAACGTCACCGTAGATAACCACTAGATCACCTAACCTAACAGCGTGCGTATTTTTAACCCGTTCTTAACCATATAAGGTATCGAGTTCACGAAGATTGCCTCGTTCAAGGAAACTACAAGTTGAGAAAACGAAACATGAAAGAGACGAAAAATTATATTATACACGTATGTGGCGCAATATGATTCAAGAGAGAAAGCGAGATTTTGATTGGTCAGAATCTCTTTCCATTATCAAGGGCTGAACGACCCTCGAGGATCCATTGGCTGATGTTAAACTGCGTCAAGGTCACGTCATGCGGTGACCTTGTATCACGCAATACGCACGTCTATGTGCCGGGCGCATCAGCGACATATCATGTGATACTGACCCGTTTCAGCTGGTTCCCCATAATATTCTGCAATTCGTTCCTTATGAGACCGAATTTCATCATTGTGTCGCTGGAGAATATGGACCATCCGAAGGCTAATCCTGGATAATCGGCGCATCTCTTTCTTCTCCTTGCCTCTCTTTCAGCTTGCACCTCGGTTCTTTCGCTGGGACATCTGAGCTTAGCAAGTTCAGCGAGTTCTGGATCCTCCTCGACGTTCGTCGACTCGTCGTCGGAGTTTCCGTCACCGCGAGCCCTCGCGACCGCGTGCTCGGGCTCCGGCGAGTTCTCGTTGTTTTTTGTCTCGTCGTCGGATTTGTTCTCGCCTGTCGTTTCGTTCCCACGTGGTTTCGTTCGAGACCTGTCGGTTGATGCATGCTCCGTCTCATAGCTGTCGTTCTCGTGTTTGTTGTCGCGAACGAATTGCTCGCGTTGTTCACTGAGAACGTCCAGGCTACACTGCGCGAGCCTGTGTCGGACGTTCTCCTGTCTCTCATCGTCTTCGAGCTTCGTCTTCTTTGTCTTCTCGCTGTTTTCGTTGGACGATGCGTCTTTCGCGTTGGCGGTGACCGTCGGATCTCTGAGCCACCTCGCGCCAACGATCGTGGGCACTGTCACCGCGGTCGAGCAAACGGTACCGATGACATTCCTCTTTTCGTCGAGCCTCGATGACGTTGTAGTTGCTGCTGGCGTTTCGTTGTTTCCAATCGGTGTGTCTTTAATGATATCAGCAGGGCCACACTGCGCGGGTCCTCTGCTGGAAGTATCGAGACGTCGGCGCGTAGCGTGTCGCGGATGATGTTGATGACCGCGACGTCTCGTGGTCGATGTAAGAGCTGGTTCCATACTATCCAGCTGCCAACCTTTTTACCTAACCTCTTTCGCTCCACTATTTAATCTTTTTTTTTTTTTATTGTGCTATTGTGTATCACTGTTGCTATCACCGCACAAGGCACACCGCCATCTTGTCTGTCACTGTTCGTAACACGTTTCTCACCGCGCCATGCATACGTACGTGCTTCTGTCTGTCTCTCTGTGTTGCACGCACACACCGTCCCGTCCTGTTCGCGGGCGAACGCATGCACGAGAGGAGACACGTTGGTCTTCGCTCTCTGCACCGTCCTGGTCTGATTTCTATCTTGCTTTCTCTCTCTCTTTCTTCGTCTATCGTTCTATGTTCAATCCGGGTTACCCCTACCACAGGCAAACTACGAAACCGAAGTTTGCCGAGCACAGCCGAACAAACGAAACGACAGCTTCGCGTACTAACGCTCGACTGTGCGCTCACTTCGCGAGGAACCTGCTCTTTCTTCGTGGGGCGCTTGCGCACGATCGCCGCGACATCTCGTGACGCTTGAACGTCACTACTCTGTCGGTAACAACGCGAAGCGAATGATAAAACTCGCGGGTTTTCACCGGTTCGAAAACCGGTTGGGTTGACTTTTTAAGTGTTTTTTAAAAAAAACATTCTATCGTTGATTTTTCTTCGACTGAACTCTGAATGATTACGCTCAATTGTCTTGTTCCTTTTCTCTAAAGTAATTCAAGTATACTGCAAATTATCCGATAGAGATTGAAAATTTAAGATTCGTGATTGTAATAAGAAGCATAGCGATTAACTTACGTTCTGCAACGCCTTGTCCTTCTCCTCGAGTTTAGCATTGACCTGCATAAGAGCCTCTTGAGTTTGATCGAGTTCATTTTCAATAGTCTGGATCTTTTTCTGCAGGGCGCGCGCCTCTTCCTCAGCCTATATCAAACGAAAGAGAGAATGTTGTAAATCAAGCCAACATTAATTTAATAAAGATAATTATGCATCGTCCTATATATTATTTGCTCGACCAAACAAATATAAAAACTCCAGATTTACAATTAAAATTCTTGAACAAATGCCAATCTCGCATATCATATTTTTTTTTTTTTTACGTTGCGATTGCTTCATCGCTATTTTTATACCCTGTTTTCGTAAAGTAAGGTAGACAGACGTTTTTGGTATTTTTTTATTCGTCAAGCTACTTCTCATTCTCAGTTTGTCAAGAGTTATTCCGTATCCCTCGACTGCATACGTTATAAGATCCTGAAAATATTAAACATTTACCTTCTCCGCTCGCGCGTTCGCGTCACGAGCTTGCTGTTCGCAGAGCAACGCGCGATCCATCGCGTTGTCCTTCTCCAGCTTCATTCCCTGCATCTTCTTCTTGATCGCGTCCATGGTGGCGGCTTGGTTTGTTCACTCGTTTACAAGGAAAAAAAGACAACGTATCTAGAACAGGAACCAGAGTCTTCATTATCATCGCGCGTTCTCTCGAGCGCGTGACGCGTGTTTTTTCTTCCACACGTTTCTTCTCCGATTATCGAATTGCACTTTTCTTATTTACTTTACCAGTTGGCGCCCGTACCGCGAAATTCGATCGAAATTCCCAAGGAGAACGGTCGAGTTCGCGTGCGTTCATCGTGCCGGAGATTTCAACGACCGTGAGACAAACCGCGAACGCAATTAAACGAGTCTTAATCATTCGATTATCATTCCTTTTTTACCGAACGTTTTCCTACATTTGTCTCTTTCTCTCTTTCCCTTTCGTTTCACACCAAAAAGTTTGACGCTCGTCCTCAAAAATTTGCAACGCGACGATAATTACCGTGGAAACGGCTGGATTGGCCGAGAATTCGTGCAAGTTCTCGCTATGCGGACAGCATGCATCGAAGTATAATTAGCGAACGACCGGATATCCTATTTATAGAGGCAGGTTCTTGCTCAAGAAGGCCCGGGCTCTGTACCGTGTCCGTATATATAAAATCAAACGTCTTCGCTGGCTCCCGCCGTCTTTCTTCCTCTCTCGTGACGTCAGACATTCAGGTATGCGATCCTCCAGGATGAACCGAGGCGAAACCTCGGGAGGATCCTTCGCGGGCTCGCTAGCTTTCGCATTTTATGCGCTTGTTTCGCTACACGAGCGAAAGCGATGCACCGCGAGAACCTGAGGGGATATAGACCGATACGACCGGCAGGACAGAGCCACCAACGGGTTAATTTTCTTCGTGGAAGCATTCCAGGCATTCCTCCAGAATCCTCCTACACCTTTTTTTTTTCTTTTTTTTTTTTTCGAGCCTGCCTCGCTTTTACACGCGAGTTTTTTTTCGGACGAGAGTGAAATTTTAATCAAGGACGTTGCCAGAGAATGGCCGTTCTTCAATTCCTCTTTTACCTCAAGGTGTCAAATTTCGTATTGAATTAAGAAGCGTGTTCTTTTTTTTTTTAACTCGAGGCTAACATCAAAGAACCCATCGTTGCGAAACGAAAGCGAAAGCAAGATTGGTGAAAAGTTCTCGAGAAGTTCTTGATATTGGTTGCCACTACTTGAACACATAGATCCTTGCATCCGTAACATTCGTAACACCTATACTAGCGAATGTACACGATTCCTGGCTGGCTGGTAATCAGAGATATACCGGCGAAGGGAGGAGGAAGAAAACGAAATTCCAACCAGTTCAAAGAAGCAGAAATTCTAGACACAATGCTCCGAAGAAAGGAACGTCTTCGCGTCATCACTTCTCTCTATGAAACTTAAATACCTTTGAAATTAAACCGATGGCATCGTCACATGCCGAAATTTGTCCTCAATAAACTCTCGGTAAAGGTGAAACGTAAAATTAAAAAAAAAAAAAAAAATACAAAAAATACAAAAAATATACCTGATCGAAACTGAGAATTTTCCTCTTCTTTTCTGTTTTTTTTTTTCTTTGACAAGTTAACAACGAGTTACGACGAAGAGAGAGCTGGAACAGGTCACAGTGGAAATAGCGATTGATAAAAAATAATCAGAGCTGTCGGATCGCTAAGGGGCCTATATCAAAGGAGAGGGTTATTTTTATACGCGAGAGGAGAGGGTGGAATCGTCACTAGCCGGCTGCCGTCGAACCTTTTCGGGTTACGCACAGCCGAGTTTCGTTACCCCATTCGGATCGGTGTCTTGTTACGCTGAAAAGAAAATTTCCCTCCCTACCACCAGGCTCCCTGTTTTTCTACGATTTCCGACACCTGATCTGGAAATTTTTGCACAATCCTACGTCTACAATGAAGATCGTTCTACATCTCTTTTGGAGCAAATAAGAAATTGATTTGCAAAGGAACGCGGCCTAGATTGTAACGCAGAGATTCACGATCTTTTATAATATAATTTTCTTGAATGAAAATTAGACACGAATCTGATGATAAACTGATAAATTATCAAGTTACTGCGAATACTACGAGTATCATGCGAATATCACGATATACGCGCTTTGTAAACGAATAGACAAGATCTATTTCTGGGATCGCTTCTAGGCTATTCGACCAACGTTTTCGATCGTTTGCATCGAAAAAGAAAGAGAGAGAGAGAGAGAGAGAGAGAGCATCAAAAAAAGATAGCGTGGCAACGTTTGCGCCGGTTCTTTCGAGAATTCGTTATCAGCGAGCGTCCGGAACAACATCGTGACCGCGATCTGCTATCTCGTGGCTAGAAATTCCTGTCTACCCTGGCGCAGCAAGGAGATCGGTAGCGTCTGGGACAATGTTGTTACAGCGGTTGCCGGCGAACGCCTGAAATTTTTTTTACGAGTCACTTTACTTCTTTTCTGGCGGATGCCAACGGGCAGTTTGCATCCGCGATTTCGAACGTTGCGAAACCACAATGGCGAAATTTGCACAAACAACCGATCGATCGGTCTTCAAAATCGTTCCTCACGATTGGAGAGCGCGGACGATTTCAACAGGAGTTCCGACCGACCGAATCCTCTACCGATCGTCGAGAACGAAGCAGACGAAATATGCAGACCAAGTCCAAGTTTCATTTACCAACTCGGCACTTTACTTCAATTCGAAATAAAGTCGTCGCAGCAAGATCAAACGCCTCTGTTCGAAACCGATTTCTGGTTCCTTGCAGCCTGACCTGACCGACCCTCCTCACTTTCCTGCACACGAGGTAAAACACACACACACATACACACGTATTCTGTATTCACGTCACTTTCTTTCACGCACACACCGTAGACGTAAACGTTAGAGGGGACGAGAGTGGATCCAGGGGAAGGTTCTGCGTGACACGCGAGGTCGAAAGGCGAAACTCGAGCGGTCCGGTTGGTTGCATCGAACGAACGATGGGTACGGACTGGAAAAAAAAGTGCACATGCTTACTCACGGGGCAAAGTGTTCAGGTTCGTTCGTCGTCTGGGATGCGTCTGACTCGCAGGCTAAGTCTCGACTGGTCGCTGAAAGCTTCGGTTACAACCGTTCGTCGTTCGGCTCCCACCTTTTCTCGCGGGCTTCTCTCCTCGCGATCGTAAAAGACGACGATGACGTCGCGCGCCAGGACGCGTTTCTCTCTCTCTCTCTCTCTTTCTCTTTCTCTTTCTCTCCCGTATCCCTACCGCACCATATATGTGTGTGCGTGCGCGCGCGTCTATGTGCACAGCCCGCGATCGAGGATTTTCTACGTACGGGCCTGTGAAAACGTACACCGCCGCGAAATTTATCTTTAGAATCGGCGACGTTACGACGGCCGATCCGCATCGCCTCGCCGCTTATTTTCACTCGCTTGGTCCTGGAGAGCTTCGGCCCAACGCGACGACGCGGAATGAAGAGCGTCATGGGAAAGACTGCCAGAGAAGTGGAGTCTTCAATGGTGTTTAGGCTCTGTTTAAGGTACTCGGGGCAAAAGTGATGTTTACTTTTCTCTTCTCTCCTTTCGTTGTCGTTACTCGTCAATTGTGGAATCGATCGAAGATTTGTGAAACCCGGTGCCTAACAAATTGCGCAACTTGTTGTTCGAAGTAGACGCGAGCACGAAGTATCCGTCGTATTTAAATATTTGCGGTATCCTTCGAAAGAGTCAAAATCGTAGAGAGAAGAAAGTAAAGTAATCGTGTGCTAATAAAAAAAAAAACGTTCGCGACTGCTTGAGCCAATTTCCATTGGTACCAAGATCAAAGTCACCGAGATCGTTGCAAGGTTATGCATAGAAAAAAAGTTTCTAACTTCGATTGAAAAAAAGAAAAGTCACTGTTCCAAAAATACGTCTGCGATTATTCATCGCAGACGGATAACGCGATCCTGCGATGAGAACATCTCTTAAAACGGTATCAATCGCGGCGCCTGTCCATAAAACGGAAGTGTAATGCGCGTTAGATGAAAACATGTTGTCGCGACGATTGCGCGTGCCTGGTCTATCGCGTGTCCAGCAGGGAAATCCTAATATTAGGCGGCGATAATTTTGGCATTGTGGTTGCAGGCCATCTCGCTCGATCTCCTTGAATCAACTCGTGTCATGGTCAATCCGCAATGACTCGGACAACGCTTTTAGTCTGACGGTGTGCGTAATTATTTCGAGATTTACCGAATAATTCGAGCACCTTTCTCTTTTTTTAAATCGAACGTTTTATATATATATAGATCAAATTTCGTTCGCCCTCTACGTTAGACTTTTAAAACTTCATGTGCCTTCACGTGGCAACCGTTCGACTCGACGACTTAATTTTCGACGAAACGCCTCGGTGAAAATTTCGCTCGGGCAATTTGTCGGCGCGTGAAGTCTTTTTGCGTAAGTCGTATCGGTCACCGCATCTCTTCGTACATTCATCGGTCCGATTCAATACCGTAAAAGGAAGAAGTAGGTAAGGGTCCCTCTGCCGCAGCCTTGACTCATATACCGTCTGTTTAAGCGCTGGCTCGTGTGCGTTTACGAGCGTGCCTCTTAAATACCGATCACCGGCTAAAAGTCAATGGAACACGCCGCGTCTCTCTAACTTTCGATGCGAACCGAACGTGTGTCATCAGGGCGGAATATCACGGAATATCAAGTGAATTCTCTCTGCTGATTTTTTTTCTTTTTGTCTTATTTCACTTAATTGACTCGTTGAGCTCCGACCTCTTTCATTAGCACGTTTTACGCGCGATTTTTCCTCCCTGATCAACTTACACTGTTGTTGCATCCTTTTTTTTTTAACGTAGTAGATTCTTAATGTCTTCTTTTTGGTCAATTTGTACTGCGTCATATTTTTCTGCCAGAAACTTTAAAGAAACTGAAATATCTACGAGCGAGCTATTTGCTGTATATTTAAATTATATTCTCTACAGTTTACCTAAACTTTCACCGCTTGATTGTTTAATTCGTTCACGAAATAAATAAAAAAAAAAAAAGAACTTTCTTGTCACTTGCACGGGGGGGAATTCGATAGCTCAATGATCCCAGTGACGCGTTAAAGAATAAGTGAAAATCCAAGAGATCTCTCTCGACCATCGTTTGCTGGAATTTATAATTTTCACAGTTAAACGAAGTCACCAAGTTGCCTTCGATTTTCGTTCGAGCTGCATATGGCAGCCAGGGTATGTCGAGTCAATTTATTATTGCCGTGCCGCCGTCAATTAACGGGGAAGGATCAACCTTGGAGCAACAATTAGGATGCTTATTATAAAGCAGTCCGCCATTATTTCAACGTACGCGCACGCTTACGCGCTAGTACTTACCTTATGCAAGATATATTGCACCGGCGAGGTCGAGGCACCTTCTGTCCTAATTCTCTTCATCGACATAAGCCTTTATAAGTAAGTTGAGTCACCTTCTCGTTAGCGCCCCTACTTTGTCATACACCTTAATTTTCTCCGCTGGAATTGACGCACGATCCATCAATCGAACGGAACGATCGGTCAAAAAAAAAAGAAAAAAAGAAGACAATTCTCCAAACGGTTTCGCTTTCTTTTCGACTTACCTTCGCTAGTGTAATTAATATCGTCGTTTTGAAACCTAGAAACAAGGGAACGAGCGAGAAAACGCGCCAGACAGGCAAGGATAAAAGTGAAGACTCGCAAAGGGCAGATGATCTTCATCGGAAAATCTTTTATTGTTACAACAATTATTGCCAGAAAGGAAGATCTCCTTCCTCGAGGATCGAACGAAATCTCCTCGCTCGTGCGGCTCGGAGCATTTCCCGCGATCGAAGGGCCATCGTCCCCCGATAAATAAATAGAACGCAACAATATAATTTATTCACCCTTGTTGTATCGTACAATGTATCGTACGCTGCGATCGTCCATGTTACAAGCAAACTGAGGTATCAAGATTCTGACTCTCGAGGGAAAAATGCAAGTGTGTGTGTGCGCACGATCGCACGCGCCGTAAAATAAATGCATCGATGTACATTGTAAAGACGAGACCGTATGTATGTATATCTACGCATGTATGTATAAATGTCAGAATGTGTGTATGTGTGTGTGTGTGTGTGTGTGTGCCTGTGTCTCTACGTGTACGTAACATATTTATAATATACAAATATATATATATACTTTTTTTTTTACACATACATGTAATATCCTCTAGTAAATATATACAGCAGTGACAACTCGAGCAATTCTCTCTTTCTCTCCTTCCGGAGGGATGTCGCGAGAGCCACTTGAAAGAGTGTTCAAGCGCACCGAGTTCCGAGTTCGATGCATAATCGAAACTAGTGATTGCCGCCTGTACTCGATGGAAATACTCCTGGCATCCGAACCAGTACGTCGAACGAAAACGATCGCGCTGCCATTTAGCTCGTTTAAGATCGTGGTCCCGATCCAAACGAATTAAACAGCTCTCTGTGAATACACACCTCGTAACGTGTGTACGTGCGAGAGACACATCTTACAGAAATGTTTAATAACAAAACGAAACGTAAGAATTTCTCAACGACGAGACTGATATACGACGCTCAATCTCACTGCAACATTCATACTTTCGCCGCGACTTCGTTTAATCGATAGACTGTAAATCGAAGATGGATGCCCCGTCAATAATAACAATAATAATATCGCGCAACGTTACTGAGCATCCTCGAACGGGATAATTAAAAACTGGTGAATTTGATGGTAGCGTGCACAGGAACGGATGTTAATTTTCTAAATGTACAGGGCGTGTCACACGTGGTCGCGCAGTTTATTTTTAAATAAATTTCACCAGCCGCTTTGACAAGATTCGAAAGTCGCCATCATCGCGGTTTCGCTCCGAGATTCTACAAATCTGCGACGATCTGAAAAATGTAGCTACGCAAAATTCAGATACGCCGCATACGACGAAATTAAAAATGAAAGAAGAAAAATGAAATAATTGAAAAGAAAAAAAAAGAAAAATTAACGAAGGAAGTAAACGCACGCAGTCTTTCCGAGAGAAGTTCTAACAATAAGATGCGTTTATCCAGCGTTTTGTGTGTGTGTGCGTGTGTGTGTACAAACGAAAATCCTGCGAGGGAAATTGTAAACTTTCATGGAGGTACATGGCAGTAAAATAATAGAAAAATAAATAACTAAATTGTCTATCGTCCATTCGAGACGTCGAGTTAGTATTGGTTCGCCATAAAATTGATAAAACGAAAAGGGGAAAAATCTGAGTGAGACGATTAATGTGTACGTTGAACAAGTGAAATTGCGTCTCGAATGGATTTCTTAGTTGCTAATATAAAGTGTTCCGAAATTATCCCTTTTTAATAAAAGACTGCATTTAAAACAATGTAACAGACCGGACTGTATTTATGTTAGCAAACGTTAACAGGCTGCGGATATTTATATTTTTACAGGCTTTTACTAACTAGAAAAAAGAAAAAAGAAAAGGAAAAAAAAAATAGAATTTAAATATTAGAGTGCAATATTTGATGTATTTTTGTATTTTCATCTTAAATGTCTCAAAACCCGCAATCTAGCTGCTACGAAATGCGACAAAAAATGACGATAACGAAAACGAATGATATGGTAAAAAATACAGTTTTAAAAATCCACGTTTCACTTTTTAACCATAAGAAAAAAAAAAAAAAAAAAACGAAAAGAATCGTGCGTGTATCGCGACGTGAAAACATCGTTGAGGTCGCTTCCGTGGTAGGATATTTTCGGCACACCCTATAAATGTAGCTTAAAACGCGCACGCTTGCATGTTGAAACTTACATCGACTTCCTAATGCATTTTCACGTAAATCCCGGAGGGCTAGGGGTTTCTAAATGCGCCGACAGCAAGGGTTCACAGGCTCTGCAGTCAATTCTCTCTTTTTCTCTCTCCCGTACATACAGATTTGCATTTCTCTCTCTCTTTTGTTTCTTTGTTTTTGTTTGCGTATCTTTTTCGTTTCGACTAAGTTTGCCTATACAAACTATTCTTCGTTTTTCGCTTGACTATAGGTGAGTCTGAAACGGGTGCAAATCAAAGAAACCAGGGTAAGAAAAAAATTTCGGTGAAAAAAAAAAAAAGAAAAAGAAAAAGGAAAAGAAAAACAGAACAGAAAGAATGAAAGAAAGATGAGAAGAGAATGTGAATACGAAGTGCGCCGAGGGTGAGGGGTGTGTAAACAATAACGTGGGGTTGATCGATCTTTGTCGACAGGTATGCACACACGCATATATTTTGACACGTGTAATTACATATATCGAAGTGTACAGTGGCTCACGAAAGTACATTGTAACAGGAATCTTGCGTGTTTTATGAAATTTGAGTATACGCAAATAAGTTTTAGCTATATATTCAGTTTATATATGTATGTATGTATGTATGTATGTATGTATGTATGTATATATATAATTTAAAATTACATATTTATTTTAATAGCAAGTGATTTTTGGTCCAACCTATATATATATATATATATTACCTATACCTATATATATAAGTTGGACCAAAAATCACTTGCTACTAAAATAAATACGTAATTTAAAATTTAATTTAAAATTGATAAAATTTTTTTCCTACATTTTGTTGTTTTACTAAAAAAAAAATAAGTGAGAAGAAACTTTTGATCCACCCTATATATATACAAAAGTTTCTAAACGCGTTGGAGTATTTTCGTCAGCCACTGCACTGTTTGAATAAAAATTAAACGAGAATAACCCACTACGTACAAAAGAAAAAAAAAAAAAAAAAGAACGCAGACATCTCAACAGAAACAGTCGTAAGAATAATAGTAACTGCTTTATTTAAATAATATCAGTAATCATGGTGATAGTAATAATCATAATGGTAGTGATCATAATCATAGTGTATAGCATGTATTGCCGAAATATCTAAGTGACAATTTTATCTCGCAACAGCGCGATTGAACAACAATCGTTCGCATTATGCATCCGGATCTTTTCGTACTTTTCGCTTCAACGTTAATACGTATAATATACCGGGACGAGTTTATTTTTTTACGCATTTCATTGATACGTACATTTCCACGTAACATACGTACCCTTATCTTCTCGAACGAGACAGAAATGGATCCGCCTTTCCTCCGCGACATCTTCTCTCGTTTTTCTTTTTCCTCTTTCGTGCAACGGGAAATAGAAATCGAAAATAGAAAAAAAAAAAAAAAAAGAAGAACTCTGGTTCTTTACGAGAACAGTTAAAAAATAGTAGCGGAGCGTTTCCAGTCGCTCTTAAATTAGAACGTTACAAAACCGTACATAAGTATACGCTCGAGATATATCGAGAGTTGCGCGAGTGCAACCGATCCACAACTGTCGTTTTAACTCTTTAACCAGGCCCTTGACCAGGCAACTAGATTTCGAGATACAGCGAGAGATGGCGATAGAATGTGAAAATGAATGTTAAGGATATTGAGAAATGAATACAAACGCGTTTCGATTAATGAAAGATCGTTTTTCTGTGTAACGCGTACTGCTCGGTTAAAGGGTTATTTATTCCAGCGACTGCAATCGCTCGTAATTGCACTCATTTCTCTCTCTCTCTCTCTCTCTCTCTCTCTCTCTCCATGCAGATTCTTAATGGCACCTTTCTACGATTCTCTTACGGGAATCTACTCAAATCGAGTTTCTACAGCTTTGTTCAAAGACGAAAGGACCGGCTTTCGGGTAATAAAATCGAAGTGAAGCTATAACGCATAATTTTTGTACTCGACTGTGAAAGTATCGAACGAATACTGATCAAAATATCTACATCTTCCCTCTTTTTATTTTTTTAAACGTTAATAAAATAAAATTTGTCTTCGACTTCCTTTCCAACAACGATGCAGCTTCGAGATTCTTTCGTACTTTGCCTTGTCCTCCAAATGTTATTTAGTCCGAGAATTTACAAAGTAACCTGAACGGCCAAAGTCTCGATAATTTGAAAACAAAATAGAAGCACGAAGAAAATCGTCAGACATCTTCTTGGCATGTTTGCATCAACGTTACAAAACCACGCGAGGAGATCGATCGTTTTCCCGTTTCTCCTCTTGTCGATCGTGACATTGCTTCTCTTCTTTTTTTTCATTCGTTCGCGATTATGAAAAAAAAGAATGTATGACGCGATGACGTTGACGCAACGAAAAGAAAACGGGGAAAAAAGAACGAAGTCTTACGCAGTTAATTAAGTAGACACTTAGACGTAAGGCTGACATCTACAGTCACGAGAGGATTAAAGTCGAAGTTACACTGTCGTTCAAACGACAGTTAAACGAGCTAAATAATTTTTCGTTGATTATTTACGTTCGATAGTATTTAAAAAAAAAAAAAAAAAGAAAAAGGATGATCGAGTACGTGAAACGGTAAAAATGTCGTTTTATCTAAAGATCAACATCAAAGGAAACAGTGCTAGACGCCCTCTAGACACACAGATCACAGATCGCGACGATAAAATCTGAAATTTTCCTCTCTGGTTCTCCGGTTTTAAAGCCCAGGTTTCCCATCTTTGTTTCTCCACAAATTGCAACTTCGTCGGTTTTCGTTGTCCGAAAAATTTCGATCTACTCTGCTGGTGCCGCTTCGTTTGGACCCTCATGGCTCCCTGCGTTGCACCTTTAACACTCTTTGCACGCTCCTCATGATCGACACGTGGCTCGCGCTGGCACGCTTGAAACTCGTTCTCACTTGACTGTACACCGAATGGGACCTTCTCTGTTCCACGAAATCGTTCCTCGCGTCGTTCGTTTCTTTCTGAATCCCAGCACACAAGAAAACATCAATCCTCTATGTCATTCCCTTCAGCTCGTCAAATCAACCTCACCACACTCTCCCTTTCGGTGAAAACATTTACGGACGATCGATTCGTTTGTTTTCTTTCCTCGACTTGCTTCGTACTTCGCCTCTGATCGTACGAATGAAGGGACCAAACGGGAGCAAGATTAGCCACATAACAGCGTGTTAAATCGATCGATCGATATCGGCTGATTGTGAGAGAGACAGGGGACAAACAACTGGAAACGGAGACACACACACACACTCACACACATAAAAGGAGAGAACGTGTGAAACACAGATAAAATTTCGATGAACCGAGTTAATCAAAGACAGTAAAGGGTTAATCTCAGAGCACAGAATTAACACGATCGTACGGTTCAAAGCGCACACAACACAAGAAAAATGCCACGGTTGGAACATGGTACACCGACTTAACCCCTTAAGCGTTTATGTCGAGTATACTCATCACGAAACGATGGAATTTTTTTGTTTACTGTCGAGTATATTCGTCATGTCGCCTTTGCTATTTATTGTGAAATTTAAGTAAAGAAATTATATATATTTGTAATTTTAGCACACCTTAGAATATTTCAAGGCAGCAAAGCAAGTAAAGAAAATATGTACTTGAAAATAACGGGAATTGTTTAGAAAGAAATCTGACGATACAACGCAGAGACAAATTAAATTAAATCTCTAGTCGTTTTAATTTTGCAAATATTTGATTTTTCACTTCTTTTTACGAATTGATGAAAATTCAAGTTCTTTTTTTCTACACATTTTGAAATTTCAATGGTTCTCCTTCTTATGGGATAATTTTCAAGAAATAAAACGTAAAGTTCTGCAATAAAATTAGAAATTTTTCAAGGAAACATCCAAAAAAATTTATCACTTTGTTATAATTTGACGCAAGTGCATTCACTGCGTTCTCGTCGAGCATACTCGTACATCGCCTAGAGATAAGCACACGTTCTCGAAATAAAACAAAATGGGCTCAAGGGGTTAAACAGCTTCTGAACGATCACCGACAAAAACGAAGATTGAATTTCTTGCGACAAAAGAGAAGCGTAAAAAGCGACGGATCTTCGACTGGACTGGCGCTTAGAGAAAATTCATCAACGACCGATCCTCGTCGTCGAAACGCGTTCGTTTCATTGCTCGAAGCGCGAGTCTTCCATTCTCACGGGGTTTGAAAGGGTTAACAGTTTAATTGGCACGAGACATCTCTCCTCCAAGCGCAGACATTTTCTCCATCGATCGTCTCACTTCGTTTCGTCTTAATCCTCTCTGAACACCTATACACGGAGCGTTCCCTCCAAGTGCAAGCATTGAAATCACTCGCAGAACTCGAACGTATACGATACGATGCGATATGTTCGTTAAAAAAATATCACACTTTCAAGATCGCTAATAAACACTGGCACTATTATTATTTTGTATAATATATATGTATATACATATATATGTATATGTATATGTATGTAACAAGAATGATAATACACGATACTCCATCGATAGAGTATTCCCGAGTTAACAAAGCTACGAGTTTTCAAGCTTCAGTATTTTATTTTCTTTTTCTTTTCTTCTCTCTCGGTCGTTGAATATACATATGTACGTCGTAGTGAAGAGACTGAATGCTCCCCCCCCCCTCCCCCCCCCCGTCGATTTAACCTTTGAAATTTTCAGAGGCGAGAAGTAACAATGACGTATAAGCAATCTGCCTGCTTATCAAGTAACCGTGTGACACTAACGGTCGGTACGAGTCACGTTTCCTCATTGGAAGTCGATCGCAATATAGAAATAAGTTGAGTTCTTTCGTTGGAGACTCGCGAGATCAGTGTAAAACTCTAGGGAGTCGTTTCACACCGACTGATTATCGAAACGCATTCGTGAAAGATTTGTGTTTGCCTTCGGCAATTTCAACGGTTCAATCGGTAGATTCGAGAAAAGAAAAAAAGAAAAAAAAAAAAAAAAGAACAAAAACAGGAACCGAGAAAGAGAAAAGAACACGCGTGTTACCTAGTGGTCGTTGTAACTTCGAAACGAACGCGAACGAAAAACGGAGCAGCTAGATAGGCTGACATAAACGAAGTTTAATCCTTTTTTGTTTCTCACGACGCGAAGAGAACAGAGGAAACATTAACGTAGAGAGCGAAAGACGCGATTAAAGCTACAGAAACAGTGTTCTCGGAGAAAAAGGAGAACAACACGGGACCGGATCACCGAGATTGCGACTAGATTTTCACCACCGTAATTTTTTTCTTTTCTGTTTTTCCTAAATGCAACGTGTCGACTGTCGAAAGCGTTTCATCGAGGACAATATATTTATTATACATGTATGTACGTGTTAATTGAACAACATTTTGGTTTTTTTTTCAAAACGTTCGCGATAACTCTCTTTCACGCCTATCAGCAACGCGTTTACATATTTTCTTCTTTTTACGTTTGCTCTGCGACTACTGTAATATTTATGTATATATGTATATATGTATATATATATATATATATATATATATATATATATATATATATATATATATATACATATATATANATATATATATATATATATATATATATATATATATATATATATATATATATATATATATATATATATATATACACATATATACGTACACGGTGTCGTTAGGGACACTCGTCAATCATTCTCGTTTGTCGTATCACGTATAACACAGTTTGCGCAGTTGCTATATTTATAATATGCATCGAGATCGCTGGAATTAATTTCGCGCCCGAGGTGATTTGAATAACACTGCAGAGTATTTCCGAAATCTACGATCTTTGTTTGCCGAAATTTTTGAAGAACCGAACTTAATGTTTCTGTGAAATTTAGGATTTCTCTTTGAGTCTTGCGTTTGTCAACTTTATAATATAAAACAGCGGTTTTCCAACCCATGGTACGTGAAAATAATATCAGCAATGTCGGAAAACACACACAAAAAGGAGTTAAAATAAAAATACAAAAACGAAATTATAGAGTTTTGATTCGAAATTAGTCATTAGGTTAATATGAGTCGTTCGACTGAGCTAAAAAGAAACTAAAAAAAAAAAAACTTTTTTGAGGGATGGAGCAAGGTACTCGTAAATGAAAAAAACCTAATCAAAAAGTACGAGAGGAGAGAAAGAAGATTGGAAACCGCTGGTATAAAACGTTCTCGAAATCCGAAAGCTTCTTTTAGAAATTTTACGAGATTGACATTTATTATACTCTGCGGAATACTTCTTTCAACCAAGATCTTTCTCTCTGTTCCTTTCAAATTTAGAAAATTTCAAACAGTCGGACTTGACGAAAATTTTAAAACTTCTCCACTGTAATCGCTGATCACCTAAAATTTCTGTTTTGCACAGTTGCTTCCGTGTTCTAACAATTGGTACAATTGGGAGTCTGCGACTCTTTCGAGACTGTTGAATCGCCGATCGAATTCCAGAACGCGCCGACAATCTCGACAATTAAATGCGGTAATACACGTTTCGTTTAATGTGTGTACATATGTATAATTATGTATGTATAGTTACGTACAGGAGACAGACAGAACGTGAGACACAGACAATAGGTACATGTACAGGATCGGCGATTATATTATATCGGTAATAAAAACGGTATTGAGGACTGAATTGCTGTCCGAATTAGATCGCAAGTATTATTTACATGTCTCTTGTTATTCGCGGACTCTTTCGTCTCTTCGTTTCTACACCTTCCTCTCAACGTTTACAACTAACTGACGTAACAACAGGTAATTGTCAGTTACTATAAGAGGTATATAATGAGTAAATATACGTAGTCGCGACAACTTCGGCGTTGAACCCGCAAAGTCGCTCGCAAAGATCGCTTGCGATTCGATGATCATGTAATTTTTACAGCTACGTAAATGTCGAACACGAGCAAGCAACGAGAGAGAACCAGTTAACTGTAATAACGACACGTGTTTTCTGCCTTTAAAACGTCGATCGCTGATCGAGTAGATAAAGTAGGTAAAGTAACTAAAAGGGCGAATGAATTGAAGTTTTGTGTAGACAATTCACCAGTGCGGCTGGACAAATTTTTCGACAGAAATTAAATAATAACACTTCTGCAAAAATTTGGAAAAGTTCTTGGAAAACTCGCGAGAATTTTAGCACAGAGAGAGAGAGAGAGAGAGAGAGAGAGAGAGAAAAGAAAAGCAATTTGCTGAACTGAACTGAACGATTAAAAAACAATTAGAGAATTTTATTAATCAATAAAACAGAAATAAAAAGATTCTATAGATCTCACAGATAAATGGAAATCGGTTAAATGACAGTGATGAATAAAAATGAGAATTCACGTCGCCGTAATAAATTAAAAAAAAATAATGTCAGAATGTTTCTGAAGAATCAGAATGATTCCGATTGAATCACCGAAACACGTGACGTTATTACGTTCTATCGATCGAGAACGAGACTCAACGTACAACATACAAAAAGAAACAACGTTGTAACGATGAATTCTTGAATGCTCCCCCAGACAGGGTGTTCGGACTATGAATGAACTATATGTCGAGTATTATACAGTCCTTTAATATTGCTAGGCCGAGTTTTTATCACGGTGTGTAAGCTTGCTGGCCTATCATCATCGACACGCTCCAAAGCTTTCGAATCTTCTCAATTCTTCGCCTCGCGAGAACGCGCCTATTTAAATTCGTTCGTTCGTTATCCTTCCATTCAGCATGATTAATTAAATGCAAGATTTGACACGCGTTGATGACGATCAACACCTCGAGAACACGCGAATCGAGACGAATATATCACGCCGTGCGCGACAGCAGTTCGTTAAGTACATACTGAACCGAACGCGATGATGTATCGCGTGCCTTTGTCCGACTTTTTCTTCGACGATCCGTCTCGACTCGCTACCAAACGTCACTTCCCCGCGACGATTCATTCCATTCAAATTCGTTTCTTTCTTATTTGTTTTGTAATCTCTTTCGAAGATTCGTCGCTACGACGGCGCAGCCAGACCAAATCCAAACTGAATCGACAGAGGAGTTGCATTTGACATTCACTCGTGCTGCAGTATCTCCTGCATTTGAGGAAATAGAGAAACCATTCAGATAATCTGATCATTTCGCACGGATCGTTCCAAGGCATGTTATCATCCTATCGCGCGAATGTGTGCCAAAACAAACGCACGAAACGTTTCACAAAATCGATCGTTTTCAGAGACGAATCGAGAGAAACCACTCGGCGAGAAATGTGAAAGATGTATTTTTCAGGACGATCAGGTTTGCTGAAACGCTTCAACCGGGGGCGAATTCTTGCAATACCAATACTAGGTTAATACGGAATTACCCGGCCGACCGTGTGATCCACGAGGTTGAGGCTCAAACCGTACGTGCACACGGCATTCTTTCGCGTGTTACGAAAAATCCTCGAGCTGATTTACTCTGTTGAAAGAATGCACGCGCTGGTGAGCCACGCGCCGATTAAACCCGCTGACGCGAATTTTTTTCACGCGGACGATTCGCGCGTACGCGGACAATTTCGAAAATACGTTCACGCGCGTGTGTGTCGCAAGTGGAGAAAAGTGAATCAGATCGCCAATTCGATGACCCCCACTATGTTTCGAGGGGAACACGACTCTTCTTTGTTCGAAATCGGTTCTACCACTTACGATTCAACGCAGAGCGTTTTAAAAACTATGAAGCGTGATCTAAAAGAGGATTTGGACGATGCGAACGAGAAAGAATGTGGGTAAATTTTTTTTTTTACAGTACGAGGTTTTATCTTTTGAATAAACCAATGTTGAAAATTTGTCCAGCGTGAACGTAAGTTGCACACGTGTCCTCATTTATGCCAGCGAGCGACAAATGTTTGTCTTACGCAGAGAGGATTGAGCAACGGAAACAAGTATTTGTATATACTGTTAAAAATGTTAAAGGAAACTGTTGAAGTGAACTGGTCTCGATGAATTTTCAAGATACATTTGTTCGGAAATGAGAAGCTTCGTATGAAAAAAAAAAAAAAAAAAAATATCACAAGTCTCGAAATACTTGTAACGAACAATCTTATTATACTGTTAGTTGCGTAAAATAGACTGTAGACTACCAGATGCAAATATAGAATGTAGACTACCAGATGCAAATGTCATATTTATAAATCTATAATGATGGAATATAACTGTACCTGGAATTGCAACCAGATAAATGAACTATGAAAGACGCCGTATTGTTCGTGGACGTCAGTCTCGAACGGTCAACCGATTAGGAACAAAGAATAAAACTTCATCTATCAAGTTAATATGAAAAAAATCCTTCTCTAGGGCACTAGCCCTCCGCATGCAATATTCCTCTACGGGATATGTATTATAAAACGATCGCTAAAAGATCAGAGAACTATGCTAAAGATCAGTCCAAGATGCATAAAGCGAAAGAGAAAAATCCCAAACAGAAACTCTCATGCACCTCTGTCAAAGTGAAGATGAGTCAATTGTAAAATGAAGTTTGAAAAATCATCGCCTTGGAACGTTCCGTGCGCGATCGAATCGGTGCTCCTTTATGGATTCGACACAAAAGACAGGGAGACTCGAAGAACACAGACACGAAACGTATGTAGACGAGACCAAAGACACGAGGTTCTTTTTTTTTTTTTTTTCTTTTCTTTTTTTTTTTTTTTTTTTTTTTTTTTTTCTGTTCTTTCAGACACTCTGGACAATTTAGACGATCGCGTTGCGTGGGTCATTTCGCGACGCGTCATCGTCCTGGGAGCTGTTCATTAGTTACAAAGAAAACCCTCGGCCACTCGGGGGAAACATTTACACAGTCCGATCGATCGGTCACCGGGCTCTGATTCTACACTTACCGCCTCGAGGAATCGATCGAGGAAGATACGACAACGATAGTCAGAGACTGTGAGCCGAATTTGTATTTTTATAAACAGTGCAACAGGGTCGCGGCTAATTCTTTTTGGATGTCTTTTAAAGAGGAGACCGTGGGGTTTGAAAACTTTGAAATTTAATTCAATAGAATTTAAATGAAGCCTTAATAATCACCTTTCAATTTAAATAGAATTCAATTGAACTCCTACGAAATGTCATTTAAATTTTTAATTTAATTACATATTAAATTTTATCATATATAAAATTTATATATCATAATATGATTTTATAGAGATTTATTATAATATGATTTATTAAAATATATGATTATAAATATGTATATATATATAACTTTAAATTAAATTTTGTATTGTAATATTTCGAGTTTGAATTAACAAATAATAACGATACAATCGCTGACTATCGGGACCATATCCTTTCAAGTGACCAATCGTTCAAAGCTACGATTACCAACTTACCATTTCCGTAGTAAGACTTGCCAACGCCTCCTCGACGGTGGTAACGATTCTCCCTCCGTCATCCTGACGCTGGCTACCCCTGATCGGCGTGGTTGGGCAACCTAAAATTATCGTTAATCGTCATAGATACAAAAGAAAGGTCAGCCTGTGTCGTAGTTGCTCGATCGCCGGAGCGTGGATACGTGTTTTTTCTTTTTTTTTTTTTCTTTTCTTTTTAGCGGTAGTGTTTGAGTCGAGTAGAGTTGGCTATCTAGGGGGGAAAAATTTGGTAATTCGTAATAATCTGTTCCTCGAAAGGACCACCATCGTTTGACTATCGTCACTTTCCTTTTTTGTCTTTTGTACTCTTCACGAAAACGCGTTCTCTTCGTAACTCTCGAAAACGCACGGTGATCGAATACCTTTTTTTTCATTTTCACTTTTGTAGATGGTCCTTTCGAGATTCTGTACACAAGTACGTAAGTTATCAAGATGCAACGATAAGGAAAAAGCGTGCATCGTTCTAGTCGACGTCTACAAGTGTCAAGAAGCATGTGTAGCTAGTGTCTCACGCAACGAACTTGTATGCGAAGAGTGTTGTAGCGAAAAATCGAAAAGAGAAAATGAAAAAAGTAGAGAAGAAAGAGAGAGAGAAATTGAAACTTATCTCGAGAGCACATCCCGTTCTTGCTCTAGAAGCAATCGTAGAAAAAATAAAACGTATGTACGGGGTTTTGTAATAGAGAGTAAGGTTTCGTGTGTTCTTCCTTTTGTAATTGTCGCTTTATTGTCGCTCTCATCGTCGAGGAAAACAAAAAAAGAAAAAAAAAAAAAAAAAAGAAGAAGAAAATATCAAAGTGTTTTGACAAGACTTTCAGATCACCTAGACAGGGCTAAGAGATAATGGTTGTGTTCGATTGTGTGGTAATTATCTAAGAAAAAAAAAAAAACGATCGAAAATGCTCGCCTTCCTTTCATTTCAGCTTTTATAATATTATTGCTGTTCTGTTATTAAATCAATTAAATTATTAAAATACTTTCACGACGGACATCTTCGTAGGGGTCGACGATCGTAGAATTTAAGAGCATTTTCTATCGTGAACACTTACAGAGAATAACCTCACAGACATGGTCTAAAACATACAGGCGATGAGATTAAATTTAGGCACTGAGTTTTTATCGTCCGTTTCCTTTTTTCTTTTTTTTCTCTGGCTATGACCAATTCGTCGCACAAACTTCCGAATTCAATCGAGAACGGGTACAAATTGAGACGAAAGTCCAACAGGACACACTTTGAATTCTTCGTACAAATCAGTATCACAACGATGATCTCGCGATTAAACGAACCTCGTTAAACTAAGGTGACGAATGAGGTATACCACGGTGTGTTCTAAACGTTCTAAACTAATCTGCTGTAAAATTGAATTGCATTTGACTTTCGTAATTGCGTAACGACGTCAACACGCAAAAATGGAGTCGACGTAGGTGACAATTCACTATCTATCGCTTGCATCGTGATTACAGAAATTGTCGTTGATTATCTCGATGATTACTGTGTGTATCTGAATTAGCAGCCAACTATTAGCACGTATTTTACACATTTATTTATTAACACGGAGTGATCCTGCGTTTACAAAGAAGAGAGCATATGATATATGTAAATGGCTCGATAAAACACCTCGAACAATAATGATCATTACCGCGCGGACAACGATACATGTCTATGTTTTCGCTCGTTTCAGAACACTACCTTAAATCGTGGCACGTTAATCAGACTTCCGGTTGTTGGTGCGAGCGCCGCGTTGATTGCCCATAAATCGACACCGTTCCGACATAACCCTAATTTTAAAGTATAATCTCACTTGTTGGATCAACTTCGTACGTTCGGTCGTTTAATCATTCGACGCTATTTAAGGAGAAAAATGAGTACAGATCGTTCGATTCACGTGTGTTTCAAGCTGAGCCTTGTCTTTCTTTTTACTACGGATTAACCTAGAATCAATTTGTGTGTAATAAAATTTGGTCTGATAAAAGTATGGAAGAAGGAACAAAGTTCTTGTACACCTCGAAAAATCAGCAATTACTGTCAAATGAATAAATTATACATCATAATCACTCGTCAAACTGTAGAAGTATTATTGTACTCGTGGAGTATTAATAATTACTTTATAGCCTTGCTGGTACAAGTACAGGTACAATACTGTAATTTTACGTGAATAGAAACAGACTTGTTGTAAAACGTACGAAAATTTACACCGTTCGATTATTCCATTTCAAGACAAAAGACACCAAAATTCCACTCCAACTCAATTTCTCCCAAAGGGACCATAAATCAACAGGGCAATCAAAGGGACGGTCACGCCCGATGCAAATCCTTTCGCCGCGAAGGTCGACGAGAATAAGAATAAGAGCACGGAGAATAAGAAGAAGAAGAAGAAGAATAAGAAGAAGAACAGAACGAAGGGATCCTCGAGGCACGTTGTGGCGAACCTTCAGGTGGCGTAGTAGATGTTGAGCGCGTACGGGAACTTACCTGCGTCACCGCTGCTCGAGCTCTCGGTGAAAGACGGCGTGCCTTCTGTCCAGGTAGGCGTTGAACCCTCGGCACTGCCCGCCGGTGGTGTCCAGGTCAAACCGCCGCCGCCACGACTGCTGCCACCGCTTTCCACGCTCAGCGAAGACTTCGTTTCCCTGCCGCCGCTTCCGCTTCCGCTACCGCTGCTCTCCAAGTGCACGTCCGATATGCTGAAATATTGGTATCACGAGGGATTAAAAGTCTAAAAGTTACGTGAATTTCGAAACTTTGATTGTCGAACAAAATAAATAATTGACGTCGATCAAAATAATTGAAGGTTTTGACGTATAAAGGAAAGGAGTGTCGATAATTTACTTAAATATCGTATTAGTTTAATATGCAACAGAACTCTGTTTGTACGAGTTCCATTTACCTGCGAGCCGAATTTCAGTCATCGTGCGTCAGTTAAATTAGAGTTGGCTAACTGGCGGCCCGTGAGTCGCCCTCTACTTTCCTGATCGTCAGCATTACCCCCTCCACTGCGTCGATCTCTCCGCTTGCTTGGTAGGGAAACCAACAGACTGAGAGAGTGGACAGATGGATGCTGTGGAGGGGATAGCGCTAGCTAAGAGGAAAGTAGGGGCAAAAGCCGCCAGTTAGCCACCTCTGAATTAAATAAACTCTTCATTTATTTGAATTCATACTACATTCCAACTGTTTTATCGCAGATCCTTAAGAGCATGCTCCTTAGGAGCATTCCTCTCTCAAACTCTATATTATATAGTGTTATTCTGCGATAAAACTTGACTTCTACGAACGAGTGGCAAATCACTGGTAGGGGAAGAATAAAAGTTGGCTCACCTCACGGCATCGTGATAAGTCTTTGTGAGGGTGACGTGGTGCACAACCTTGTTCTGCTTGGACTGAGCACTGCTTAGACTGCTGGTTAAGATGGTGGTCGGTGCACCCTGTTGAAGTTGACCGCCAGAAGCCAGGGTTTGGTCGTTTGAGCGCACTGCATCGTCAAAGGGCGGGGGCGGGGTGGAACAAGTGGAGGGAAGGGTGCCACCTACAAAAAGCGCACTACAGTTAGCCCTAATGAACACAGTATAATGTGCTTGCTTCGTCGTCAAGGGTTCTAAGGACGGGGGTGGGTCGTTAGCGTGAGAAGGCCTTGCTGCTCGTCGTAGGCCAAAAAATAAAGAAGAAAAAAGAAAGAAAAAACTATTTCCAAGAATCTTTCAGAAACTCTTATCAAATTTCACAATACAGATATCTTTATATTTCCTACGTCGTGTTCAAGCAAACAAATTAAGATTATTAATGTCGCATTTTTTCATTTGCCTTTACTTCGTGTAAAATACTTAGGAACGTAAGTCCACGATGAAAATCTTGCATGTTCGTGGCATGTTTGTTCGGTTAAAAAATAGGTGTAAAAAATTGTGAACTGTACTTTCCCAACAGGGGATTAGAAAAGGGTTCGAATACTATCTACTTGAGACGCTGCGTTACCAATAATCACAGTAAGCAGTCGCTAAAGAGTAGCGACACGAGCATTTCTAACGTTTACCAAACAATAAACGGTGCGTATTACGACTCTATTGCACAAGCGTGCTCTGACAAATTATTTTTTGTCATTCAATCCGTCAAATGGTTTTGCCAGGGGCGTTGCAAATGCCGGTGTGAATGATCGTAACGTTAGAAATTGGTCAGCACTTCCTACTGAAGTCAGTTCGAATAAGCCATTCCAACTCGAATGTTATGGTACAGAGACAGTTAACAATACACAATATTAAAGCTACATCTACTTGTGTCTACAGAGGTGCACAAACAGCAAACTACTTAGCCAGCATGTCACAAGGCAGATCGATAGTTCGTTTGAAAAAAAAAAAAAAAGGGTATTTGCACTGTAGATAGTACATTCGTGCGAACGTCCCTTTATTGTGGATTTACAGAGAGCACACCATACAAACACACCGATAAGGCTCCGCGTTCCGTTCAGACGACGAAATGACGTTTCAACGGGGTTAAAACTTTTCAAATGTATTATTTTTCAGATATAGACGTAACTGTCCTTGATTCTTTCCTTGTCAACTCGTCGCAGACAACCAAGTGTCCAAGTTAGAGCAAAATGTTCTAAGCTTCCAGAAGATATGAAAAATTTCTAGTATACATATCGAAATATTTACTCTTACTGCGAATGTTCGAAGGATATTTTAAGGAAAGAGAGAAACTTCTAAAAAGTTGCCTACGAAGTACTAAATTAATAATATTTTATCAGGTGTTGAACAAGTACCGAATGACAGTATAATGAAATTTATCGGATAATATTTAAAAACTGTTTCTCCATTTTTTTTTTCTCTATATAAATAAATTCCGTCTAATTCGCGAGTTACGTCCATTCTTTTTTTTTACATCGGTCCTAACAACGGATAAAAGATCGCTACGCATGCAGGAGTACACTGGAATCGAGAGAAGAAAGTAACCAATTCTTACACGCACTACATTCGCAAACGTGGAACCTCTGCGTGCCGGGGACAGTCGGTTCCCGATAATACGAACGATACCTCGTCGACGCCATAAAATCGACGATGATACGGCATCGAGTTCAGAGTACACGATAAAACAGTAACGACAAAGTGCATCATCTAGTGGTAGAAAATACGTAAAACATTAAAGCTACCAGCTCCTTCGTTCTCATAGACGTAACAGTGGGAAAAAATATTTCTTGTTTCTGCATGTGAGTCATTTTCTAGTCAACGTCAAGGTTAATGTTACAAACTGACTGAGGTCGTGAGAGAGATCGAGTGATGAGAGATGAATGAAACAGAAACTGAGTAACTCGAGGTGTATTTGCGCATGCAGGAGAGAAACGTTTTATTTCAGAGTATATGGTCAGCCAGAGTGTTTCCACGTTCCCGATCGAATCTTCCTTCTTCCCGCGAGATCTGCGATCGTCTTTGACCTGAGTTTTCCATCGAAATATTGTACATATTCTGGTCCCTTTGTAAATTGATAAAGTAGGCGATAAAGTTTGGTTCTGTCTCGTCTACAGCCTTCTCTTTGGAGATCTTTTGTAGCCGTGCAAGAAGGAACTATTGGGTATCAGAATGCGTTCCGATTCATCAGGTTTGATCGGAGACTCCAGAACGTTGACCTTCTCATTCTTATTCTTGGTCAGTCGCTCGCCAGAGATGGGATTTCCGATCTGATCACTTGCTCCATCTACTTGAACTTTATCAGATACCATGAGATTTTTATCAACTTGAATATCGCCACTCTCTCGGAGCTGCTCGGACGAATAAACTGTCTGGATGCTCTTCAATTTGATCGGAACTTCCTCGTCAACTTTCGTCACCAAGAAGCTTCTCTTATCGCCTCTGTGAACAATCGTTTGCCTCTCACTTTCCAACGTTTTCACATCGGGTTCGCTGTTACCATAACCAGGATTCAAAGACGTCACCTTCTTTCGCTCGAGATCTTCAAAGTTATCGTTCGTTCTGAGAAAAGCTTGCGCCCCGGGTGGCGACGGCTCGGGAGCCAGCTTCTTCTTCCTCTGAGCAGACTTCTCTCTGATTTTCCTCAACAACTTGCTGTCTCTTCTCCGCTCCATCAGCCTCTGAATTTCGATCCTCTTCTCAGGAAGCTTCTCCTGCGGCTTGCTCGTCGTAGCGATCGACCTAGGAACTACGGTTCTCTCCTCGACCTTGCTTCTTTGGGTGATGGCCGCGATGGTGGCGATCGAGGCCTCGAGCTCCCTCTGTTTCCTCTTCATTCGCTCGTAGTACGTCTCCGAGTGTTTCTTGTCCTTGCGCGACATCTTGTAGTTCATTAGCTCTGGTCTAGACGCCGGGTTCAAGAAGTACGTGAACTTGGCCATGTGCTCGGCTCTCGAGCTCGCGGTTCCCCTCCTCCTCTCCTCCTCGCTGGCTGCGGCAGCCTCGCGATTCGTCCCCTCTGCTGCTCGCTTGAAGTTCCCTCTCTCGGGCCTGAACGGGTACGGGCTGGTTCTGATCACGTACGAACCGTCGACCTCCTCCACGCTCACGAATTCCTCCTCCTCTTGGTAGAAATCCTCGACCGGCTGCCAGCGGTTGTTGTTCCAACGCGTTGTCCTCGGCGTTGCTCGTTCCTCGTGGATGCTCTCGAAGGCTGCCGCCATCAGGTCTCTCGTTCGTTCGTAGAACGCCAGGCTCTCGTATCGCGGTGGTAAGTACGCGGGAGTCAATGTTCGCGCATGCAACGTCGCGTCGGTGGTATCGGATGTACAAGTGTTAGAATCGGGGTGATAGTTTGCGATGTTGTCGACAGTCGTGGCGGTGATAGTAGTAGTAGTGGTGGTGGTACCAGCGGAGAAGAGCAAAGAAGAGGTAGTAGTACACGTAGCAGCGACAGAGTAGTTAGTAGTAGTAGTAGTAGTAGTAGTAGTAGTAGTAGAAGTAGTGACGGCGGGCGCAGCAGAAACGGTAGAAGTAGAAATGTAATCGGGTGCAGGGAGATGGTGCAGGATGCTCGAACTTTCATGCAAGCGGTATCTCGTGATTATGGCTGCTTCGTCACCTCGGCTGGACGCCATCGAGGACGTGGATGTGGCCGTTGCAGGGCCACGGTGCTCCTCGGAGGACCTCGCGGTCCTCGATTGACCGGTGCCTCTCGGAGGGACGGGGGGTGGAATCTTGCCGGAGGGTACCAGATTCGGATTCGGTGGACTGGCGGCGGTCCTGCCCTTCAGTACCGCTGGATAGCTCGTGACCTTGGCCGCTGAGGTCGTCACCGGTTGCTCTTGATGAGGGATTGGGCCTGGACCGGCGGCCAAGGTCAACGGAGGCGGGCTCACCGGGCCCGAGGCGAAGTTCACCGGGGTGGAAGTGGCGATCGGCGCCGAACCGGTCGACATCACCGTGCTGGTCGTGCTGATCGCAGGGTCTGTCGGGGTCACTGTTTTTTTTCCGGCGGCGGTTCCCAACGGCGTCGGCCGGAAACGGGCCGGATTCGAACGCCACGAGGGTTGCGCGTGCAGCGGCAACGGTGATCGAGTCGGGATAAAGAGACAGAGAGAGACAGAGAGACGGGGACAGACAGAAACAGAGAAGCTGGGTGAGTGAGAGGTCGTGTGGCGATACGAATCGTGCAACGTTGCTTCGACCAACCGAAAGGATCTTTTGTTCGCGCGTCGCGTGCGCCACTTAATATTTACGATGATTCATTTTCAGTCGCAGACTTTCTACGAAAAACGTCTCAGGCAGCCCTCGCGCGATAAATTCTGTACGGTGTAGGGGTAGAATTCGAAGCAACGTGGCATCGCTCGTTCAGAGAGAAAATATTTAATACGCAACGGTATAACAACGGGTGTGGCTACGATTCAAAACTTGTTTTATCATTGACAAATAAGATCGATTCAGTAATATCTCTCTATCACATACATCACGTTCCTGTTACTATTTCCACTTATTTTTTTTTTTTTTTTTTCTTTCCACCGTACTGGATGCAACAGAAATCTTCGAGGAATTGGACAAGTTAAATCGACACAAGAAAGACCGCGGTGGTAACCATCAGAATATATATTAAACGGATATTAGGAAAATAAGTGATCGTATGAGACTCACCAGCCTTCGTGGGTGACGTAGCATGCATTGTCGAAGTTCCGGTTGTCGGCACCGCTAAACCACCATACAACACCATGTACCATTACCGTATCACCATATGTGCGACTCTTGATCGGACAGAGAAACTTCCGGATCCTTTCCCACTCGGATCTTTGTTCCTCGCACAACGAACAAAACGCACGCGTCCACTTTTCATTGTTCTCATTGTCAGCGATTATCGCTTCCGCGTCGACTTTTATTGTTCTCGGATTTTCAAAGTCTCTCTGTCCAGTCACGGATCGAAGGTGTCCCGAAATAAAACAGGGATTCGAGCAAGGGACGTTCGAGGCAAAACAAAGAAAGAAGAGAGAGAAAGAACAAGAGTGAAAGAGAGATAGGGATTCGATGATCGGAATGCGCGCATTCGACTGACATTCACGATAGAAAGCTGTATACGTACGCTCGTTGTGTCTGCAGACAGAATCGAAAAATGGGGTTTCGAAGGAACGGATTGGCAGGCGGATGTAGAAGCCGCAAATATTCTCGACATGTATTTTCTCGATGTATACGCAACAATACATACAACGATAGAATCGAATCGCAAATCGTTGTTTCGTTTTTCAATCGTTTTAGCTTCATCGTCGACGATTTGTTAAATCGACGTTATCCACTGCGTCATTCACGGATTCACGATTATAGGTAGGTACCGTAGGCAGCGCGGTGTGATTACTTCAAAGTTCGTCGTTTGAATTTATACGTAGTCAAATGAGAATGAAATTGAGACGGGAACGATACTATTTCCCAGTTTTACTCGTACGAGATGATCATGCTTAACCCTGCGGAGATCGCGATCTATTTGCGTTTCTTAAAAAAAAAAGAAAGAAAAAAACCAGATTGTTAGATCAATCTAATCTGTCTTTGTACATTCTCAATCCTTTCTCCTTTTTCCCTAATCCTTTACTGTCGCGCCCTACTTACCCTTACCTTCGTTTCTTTTCTTTCGTTCCCTGTTAGTTTCGTCTGCTATCCACTTTTTCTACTTTTCCATGCTGTCCCCTCCCCTATTCACTTCCCATTTTCTCTTTCCCAACTTCTCGAGGTATCTGCGTCTAGGCATAATTTTCAATTACCGCCGGATCCTCGCGTGCGACTGTCAGGCGAGCCGCGACCTCCGCAGGGTTAATAGGATCGTAGAATAATGGATTACCTGCCAACACGGACGTACGAATAGGCGGCACGTGGAACCAACACGTGGAAAGCACGCGCGAGCAATCTTCGTAAAAGCGGCAGAGTATGTCTTGTCAAAGGGAACGGCTGATAAGGGACGGTGGTTCAATGGTATTTCGTGGCACCGTCGCAGACAGGGATCGTGGTGAACGTTTTGGACACGGGGAACTTTGGTATGCCGGATCTAAGTTTATTGTACTGATCGCTGTGCCTGGCTACACATGTGAAATTCAGCGCAAAGCCAATAATGAAATCGTGGAATATATATATATATATCTCCGTTCGTATATATCATCCGCACGACCTTCGGACCGCGTTCGATCTCTCGACCGGCGATAACTTGAGGACAGCCTCTCTCCTCTTGCAACAATCTTGTATCAGAGAAATATCGAAAGGAGGATTTTTTTAACGGGCAAAGGAAATTTATTCTCTCAGTAAATTTTAGTATTCTTACGTTGCAACTTTCTAGATAGTTCTCTAGCTGAAGTTTGAACTAGCTCGAGTTTTTTGTAATATGCGAGCTGTCTCAACAAGAAAATGTCGATCATCGAACCGGCCCGGAAATCGTTGAACCAGTGGTGATCGTGAGACCACGCGAAGCGTACGAAACGGATCAATAGTAACAGATATCCGAGAGAAAAAAAAAAAAAAAAAAATAAAGGAAAAAAAAGAAAAAAGAAAGAAGAATATAAATTGTTCAACGAGTATATATATAAACCATCGAACAAACTCACCGGTTGAATCGAAGTCGCCGTCCAGGGGCCTGAGAGGCCTGGTGATGCTTTTTCTCTTCGACGGGGAATGTTTCAATGCTGAAACACAAATCGACACGTTGTTAGTACACGTCGTAGTCGTGACGCGCGCGGGGCGCGAGGGATTGCAAGAAACATCGATAATACTCATGGAAGTCGGAACGATTAATTGGAGAAGAGTTTCAGAAACTATGGTGCCTATGTATCGTAAAAAGGGGGTTTTATCAAACGAGTTAACGCTACAAAAGCTGACGTCAGTACCGTAGCAAGTGTTAGCTTATGCGTGAAGCGTCGTACTTTGTTTCGAGAAAGTTACCTCGCCGCGCTTCGTATAGTAAACGCTTCGTGTGTATATCCGCGGGACGTGTTACGCACGCGTTTATTGCGTCACGGGCTTTCTATTTTCGCACCGTAACATCGCAATTAACACGCCCTAGAGATCGTTCGGGAATCGTTATCGTCTCGATGCCGACTCGTGGAGCAAGTCGCGGTACTCGTAACTACGAGATGAAGCAAATTCAGTACAAACGAGAACTGTGGGCAAAGTTTAATAATTTTTGGCAAAAATGATTTCACCGGGTTCTTTCGATTAATCCTCTGCGATCCTGCCTCGACATTTTATTACGTTCGATTTTCTCTAGAGTTTTTCAATAGACGAAATTATACTTTTCTTACATCGTAAAAAAACAGAAATATATATACATATATTATTCCAAAGATATATGCAAAATTCTATCTAAAGTAAGTACACTGCTACAAGCTAAGATCAACAGCTTTCAAAGACGGACCAGTTGGAACGAAAATGTCGAGCCCAGACCGCAAGGGGTTGGCTTCTTGAATTCATGAAAATGTCCAATTCATTTCCCACTAACTGCCACGTGAAGTGAAGTCTCGCTACAGCACTGTCTGCCACGACTACGTCTAACAAACTCCTCGGCAACGTCCGGAGCTACGCTTCTTTGATCTCTCTACGGCTATCGGACAGGGACAGGCGTAAACGACGAAACTACTATTGCAAAACGGGGGAGGAATTATCTTTCCCCCTCGTCTCTATTCGTCTAATCACCTCTTCAATCTCTACCGTACGTATAATCGTAAATGAGTCTAGTAAAACAGTCTAGTTCGACACAACACCAAAAGCTTCTCTCATCGTTCCCTCTTACGTTCGATCTGAACCGCGAGAGGGTTGCCTTTTGATCCTTCCTTGTAATTCTCACCAGATCGTGCGTGTCACTACAGTCTCCTCGTCGTATACAAGTATAAAGTACATGCCTCTGTATGTATATATGTGCAATACAATATACGTACATGAACACACAACGTGGCGTTCGCAGACGGGTTCGTTCGATTTCTCGCGATCGGTGAGCATCGTTTCTAATCGGTCGAACACGCGTGACCGCGAGAGGAGGGGGGGGGGGGGCTCTACTGGCTTCTATCGGACTGTCTATGCGCCGTGCACGTTGTGTTCAGGTCTGATTCGAATCCGGACAACGAAGTTAACTAGAACGAGCCCGCGTGTCTCGACCATGTGCTACGAATCTATGGAAAATTATTCTGATATACGGGATGGGGAGAGACAGACGAACTAAGCAGAGCTAAGGCACGCAACCGAGGCGCTCCTTTCCTTTCTTGAACATCGTTGATGTTCCTCACTCTGAAGAGAATTTTGCTCCGTCGAGCAATTTCAATTCGCATCGTACACAGAGTGTTCGCGCTATTAGCTCTCGGCGATTAATAGACTTGCGAGAAAGACGAGGAAGAGGGAAAAATTGTCGTTCTACGATGGTCCGAATTGATACTTGAAATTTCTCGTGGCCTTTGTGTGTTTTTGTTTTCTTGTGACGAGACTCTTTCTGATGATCTTAAATGTCTGAAACAACAGAGTTTCGTTTATTAAACGTATCTCTACAGTCAGTAGTTGCGTCTCGGTAGTCGAACTTTCAATTATGTCAATTAAACAATATCCATAGTCTCGCTAATTACATCGGTCTTGCGCAATATAATTACTCAAATATTTTTTCTCACAAATCACACTACTTGCAAGAGACGATTAATATCGCGAACAGCCTGTATACCTCTGTAAGAAAAAAAAAAATAATAATAATAAACGAACGAAGGTGCGCTTAACTCCGTTGTCCCCTGTTTTTTTTTTTCACGCTACCTAAAGTGTGCTTTACGCTAAGAAAACGGGGGGCCAGGGTGTGTGATTATGCGAACATATATGGTGCATGTATGTGCACGTTACGCTCTAGACAAAAATATTCCTAGCGAAAATTCGGGTGTACGTCATCCAGTTCGGTGATTAACGAACGTAAAGAAGTTCGGGGCGCGACTAAGAAACGGGATCGGAGATTGATTCTTCCAGATGCTTTTTTTTTTTTTTTTCGAGAGGAGGGTGACCTAGATTCGCGCGGAAAAGAAAGAGAGGGCCATTGATCAAGAGATTGGGTAGTTGCTTGGTGTACTTGAGAAAATTGTGAACGTGTCGGAGCTTAAAAAGAGAAGGAGAGAAAGAGACAAGTGCGAGAAAGTGAGATAACAACGACTGGGGGGTAGAGAATTCGAATTCAGGCACACAGATCTCACGATGCATCGCAACAAGCAATAGAGAAACCGAGGGTGAAAAAACTTCGTTCGAATTTTTCTGTACAACTTTCTGTATACACTCCTTTCTTTTGCCAACTATACACGAGATCGCTTCGATCGATATATACGATGAACACACAAACACGTAATTTATTTCTAATTCATTTTCGAAGCTTTCAATAACACACTTTCCTCGATATAATCAGCAAAAATGTTTGGAGTGTATATCATACATATGTACACGTATAAAAGTCGAGAAATGCAATATATCTAAGGTCACATCTACAAGATCAAACGCATGTACACGTGTTCGTATGATGTTGAAAAGTTCGACTAGAGATACTAGGTGAGAAAGACAATCAAAGAAGCGTTGCAGAAGATGAACACCGTTCGAATGTAAGTTTTCTATTTGGAAAAGAGAGCGTTCCGTGAGAATGGAAGAAAGTGAACAAGTGGCAAAAATACAAAGTGAGATTAGATTAAAGTAACGAGGAAAGAAAAATCAAAAATGACTTCAAACTCACAAACAATAAGCGCATCACAGAAGAACAACGTTATGCACAACACTCACAGGGAACAGATCTCGTATTTACACGCAGTTTCATTCGAACTTCGTCGTTTCAAAGTCAAGATTGTATTAATAAGAAAAGGAAAGAAAAAGGTTGCAATGGGAACATTTTGCACTTACAGTCTTATCCTATTTACCAGTGCATCTTACATACAACACCTTACATCTACGGCTTCAGAAAAGAAAAAGAAAGAATAAAAAAAAAAAAGAAAAAAAGAATGAAATTGGTTTCACATGCCAGACAGCAGGTACAAGAACAGTATTCTAGGAAAAAACCAGTACTCTCAACGTTCTACGTAAAGTATCTGTGGCTACTTGAATGTCGAAATATAGAAAAAACTCACTTTGAGCAAAGACTGTATTTGAGCGAGAAAACAGAAAAGCGTCTAAATTAGTTGAGGTTCGACCAGAGGCACATAGAAAGAATGTTAATAATTAGTAGAAAAGGGAACAGTTTACTGGAAAAGAAAGAGAAGTTCGCGGGGTCAGAAAAAAAAACTCAGAATAAAAACGAAAAACCAGCAACACGACGATAGAAAAATATTATAGAGCAATTCAAGGGACTCGAAGGAACAACAAACCAGATCGACACCAGAAACAGAGAGAGAGAGAGGTAGAGAAAAAACGTGTACGCATAGATACAAGCAGTTAAAAAATATAACCATCGACGTTATATTATTTTAGAGGAAGAGAGAGAGAGAAAGAGAGAAATATTAAAAGAAAAAAGTTAAGAGATAAATAAAGAGAAAAAGAGAAATAAAAAAACAAACATACGTACAACTATACAAAAATGGACAGACAGATGGACGAACAGACAGGCAAAGTTACCTATGTAGCTGGTGACGAGGTTACGGAATTTGCGATGATTCCCCTTAATCTCAGGCAGGTCCACTTTTGGTATTCGATTTTCGAGTTTCGATCGGTAGCAGGTCAGATCAGGTCATTGGGGGTTGACACGAAAAGAAGTGCACGGGACACAAAAACATCAACATTTAGCTAACTCCGTACTTAAGACATCTTTTATATATACCGGAATTATTAAAACGATCGATAGATCATAGGGACTGCCGAGAATCAAAATAGCAACATAATAGGAAAGCGGGGTTTACGTTCTTGCCTCGAAATGGAATTATAGATGAGAGACAGAAAGAGAAAGAGAGAGAGAGAGAAAGAGAGGGAGAAAAGCAACGATAAGAGTACCATTCATGATCATGTGAATGATTAAGTGGTCAAACAAATAAATACAGTGTGCCATTATACGTTTTTCGCGAATTATTAATTTACATTTCGGGGATTCTGGTGAACGATGAAAGGTCCCGATTATTCGAACAACGCATTGTAAATACGTTCCTTTCGATTTATATATGTTGCATATCTCTTTTAACTGGGAGACTTGAACTCGCGAAACATTGACCTGGATATCAATCGCAGTAATACCGAGACGATCTGTTTTTCATTTTAAACAGTGCCTCGTTAGTCGCGCCATGGCGTTTCTCGAGAAATAACTACGATTCTACGTTGCTAACTGCTTGGCTAATCTGAAAGTTATCTTAAGACTCAATTTTGATTGGCTTTTTAAAAATTTAACTACAATTTCTCGTATTATATTCATATTAAATCAGATGTTTTTAGGATTAATAATGACGGCGCCTTAATAAACAGATCGTGTAATTCCGAATTCGTTCGAATAATCCAGATTTTCACGCGAGATATCTATTAAAACATACAGTAACGTGTCTTTAGAATGAAATACAAAAGTTAAGGTAAAGTCAAACAAGTTGATCGTTTCAGTCGAACGAAAGATTGAAAGAAAAGAAAAAAAGAGAACAAAGAGTAAAAAGAATCTTTTTACGGTGGGAAAAATGTCGAAGGCGAAGAGGGAGGGGATCGATAAAAAAAATCGTCTCGTGGATCTTTTTCTGATCTTTTTCATGGATTCCGTGTCATGGTAATCGCATCGCAAAGTACACGTGGTAAACAAGTGGCAATTAAAACCCAAACGTTGTATATAGGTTGAAACACAAACAACAAACACACCGCACGATACGATCTATTTAAGACAGTACATAAAGTGTGTCGCGCGACGATATAGTGCAGAAAATAAAATTTTATAGATGAGAGTCGATAACTACGGATGAAGGAAACGTGAAGAGTTACAGTAGACGATGAAATAGTAATTCGGTAATGATGTAGCGGTAGAGCAGTAATATAGTGGTCATGGTAAATAGTAATGGGAATATTAACTAGATAAGAGAAATCTCGATAGGACAAGAGAAAAGAAGAAGAAGAAAAAAGTAAATGAAAAAGTAAAACGTAATATGTTTACGGGTAGGCTTTATAAATGAAATGAAGTTGTAAACAGCGAAAATGTTTATTGCAAAATATATAAATATGTACATTGGTGTCCACGTTGAGCTGATAGCTGAATATTTTCACAATAAAGAAGAACGTGTGTGTGTGTGTGTGTGTGTGTGTATTCTACTTCTACCATTTAATTCTCTCTCATACTCTCACTCTTTCTCTCTCGTATACTCTCTCCGATACATCCATGTCGTACCAACTAGCTTTGCCAAAATATACTCGACTGTACACGCCGTAAAGGATCCTTCTAAGTTTAAACAATAGATCGCACAAAATTATTGTATAATAACCAGCGACGCTTAAAAATTATTACAATAAATAAATATATATATATATGTATATATATATTTATATATAATAGATGTATAAAAATTTATAATCTCTTTTTCTGGAACTGTATGTCATTAACAAATTTCATGCCTAGCATTATAGGAATTAAATTCGCATGTGGTTTGTCAGAACGAAATCTTGTGCGATCTATTACATTGTTTCGATAGCAGGTTTCGACAAATCGTCAATGATTGCTTTCTCGCGTGTTCGTAAAATAGAAACCTCTATAATCACGAGCCATTTACTATTCTGTACGCTACTAGGAACACGTGGAAATAGTTTTACACAAAACTTTGGCACGTTCGTACGTTAATGATTAAGGAACTTCGACGATGAAAAACTTGATTGAAAATCACTTCATACACGTACGGTAAGCTACATACGTTGTCAAAAATTTTACTCATATGGAACGGCCAGGTCCTCTTTCTAGCGACAGAAATGTTGTGAAATTATCTTTACAATGATACGCTTCCAGCAAAAATCTTAGATTTAATGAACCCGGTTTTCCTTTCTTTCTTTCTTTTTTTTTTTTTTTTTTTTTTTTTTTTTTTTTCGCGTACAAGGCACATAGCTCTCGTTCGAACACTGAAAACTATTC